TCGAAGTTTGTATTGGGTGGAATGATGCCGCGCTCCACGGCTATAATAGCCTTTATAACACCGGCTATTCCACTTGCACCTTCAAGGTGTCCGATATTGGTCTTAACCGCACCCAGGTATAGCGGACTATCTGCCGTGCGGTGGTTGCGAAAGCAGTCAGCAATAGCGGATACCTCTGCTGGATCGCCAATCGGCGTACCGGTGCCATGGGCCTCGAAAAACCGTGTATGATGTAAAGAAATTCCCGCTTGGGCATAAGTTTCTCGAATGAGCTGAGATTGGGCCTCACTTGCAGGCTGTGTGATGCCGGGAGTGCGGCCGTCTTGATTGCTGGCGGTGGCACGGATGACAGCGCGAATGGTATCATTGTCGCGAAGGGCATCAGAGAGGCGTTTGAGCACCAGAACAGCAACGCCTTCACCACGTGAGTAGCCGTTTGCACGAGAATCGAAGGCGTAGGAGCGGCCATCGGGCGACAACATGTGGTTATTGCTGAGTATAATGCTGTAGTCCGGGTCGAGGAGCAGGTTGCACCCGGCGGCAAGACCCATGTCAGTTTGACCACTGAGAAGGAGGCGGCAAGCACAGTCAATAGCCAGGGCACTACTAGAGCAAGCCGAATCAATATTAAAGGACGGTCCACGCAGATTGAAGAACCAACTGATTCGGTTTGCCAGCATGGACGGAGAGGCGCCGACAGCTGCGTAGGGCGGTAGTCGTTGAGGGTCTTTGAGCAATTGATGGAGGTAGTCATTGGAGAAGCAGCCGGTATGAACTGATGTCCGAGATCCATGTAGGTCTTCTATCCGAATCCCAGCCGTGTCCAGAGCCTCCACTGTGGTCTCAAGGAGCAATCGCTGCATGGGATCCATGGCCGCTGCCTCGGATGGGGTAATTGAAAAGAAGTCAGCATCGAAGCGACTCAGGTCTTCTTGCAGGAAATGTGCGCCACGCGTGCTGAGCTCATTACGTCGCGTAGGATGGTAGAAGGCGTTGATATTCATTCGATCCCCGGGGAACTCAGTCCGTGCACTGCGGCGTTCCATGAGCATCTTCCAGAAGCCATCTTCCGAAACGGCGTCCTGAGGGAGCTTGAACCCAATACCACATACGGCAATGGGCTCCGCAAACTCACGATCCTCATCGAGATGGTAAGCGCCCTCGCTGGACGTACTTGGTGTTGGGTGTCTTTCGAAGAACATTGGTACAACGTGCAATACTAAGAAATAGGGAAAGCATCTCAATCATTGAGATGGGCTTGAACAATTCCGGAAGGAGGACAAGAGAGTGAGCTGCCTTTATACCTCAGCCTTCCTCGGCAGTCTGAGCTTCTGTCCATAAGCGAAGCAAAGTAGGAAGATGTCGTAAGACACTCGGGTTTTCCATCATTGACTAGTCATCAGCTCCCCCCAGGCCATCCCTCCAAGGCAGTATATAATTCGTGCAAATAACCCTGGAAGAGCTCAGCAAATTTCTACCCTAAGCCTCCAAACATATTTCTGCATCATCTCATTAACTCGCCATTCTAGACTTCATCGCTCACCTTATTGACTATGCGCTTCTTGTGCCTTCACGGAGCTGGCACTAACAGCAAGGTCAGTTACTAAATCACAATATCTTCGCAATCCATCATGGCTACTAACTCAAGCAACTGAACGTACAGATCTTCGAAGCTCAAACTGGTAGGAGCCAAAGAACCAGCCCTCTACTCAGCCCTCCTTCACCCTCTCTCTTTCTGAAGGTGCACTCAAATGGTTTGGCTTGATCTGGACTAACTTCGCACCGCCCTCGGTGTGTGGGTTGACTAGCGGCACTACGATATGAACTTGGTGGTAATCATACGTACGAATTCGTCGAGGGCCATATCCCTCAGCCTCAAGCCCCAGGTGCGTCATATTTACCCGAGTCTCATATTCCAGTAAGACGGAAATCAAGACTCGGTTATGCGAAAGGCCTGCTGGTGCATACTAACCAGTTTCCAAAATAGCAATCGAACGGTTCGCAACAAGCGGGGATGAGTACTATGCCTACTACATCCCTGGTAGCCAGCCGTCATTTACCACCGCCAAGGCGCATTTGCAGGCCTACGTGGAAACCGAAGGACCGTTTGATGGGGTGATCGCTTTTTCGCAAGGCGCCCCCCTAGCCAGTGCTATGCTGCTCGGAGACGAGCCCGCACAGGCACTGCCCTTCCGCTGCGCCATCTTGATATGTGGTCGTTTGCCAATGACAGACGAGCGTTCCTTATGCAATGTGATGGGGGCGGGAAAGGAAGGCCTGCAGAAGGAAGATGAGGAGAAGGTGGAGAATGATGATGACAATGGTGGTTGGGACTGCAAGGAACGGCAAATCAGAGTTCCGACAGTGCATATCATGGCGGCTAATGACCCAATTGACCCCGGTCATGCTAAGGCCCTTTGGACCTGCTGCAATGCGGCAGTGCGGTGGGAGTGTGTTCATGAATTAGGGCATGAGGTACCTGGGGCTCGAGACCACGAGGTGTTGGTGGAGAGTGTCAACGCTATTCGACGCATGCTGGGCGCAGTGGGAAGCACGTGTTGAGAGACGGTATAATAATACACTTGCAGCTGACAGAGAAATGGGACTAGTCTTGAAACATACTATTTTGCAGGGCTAACCTACCGCCGTCCCTATTCATCCTCCCGGTCTTCGATCCAGAAGGACCCGTAATAGGGCGCAGACATTCTGCCCCCACCCTCCCTTCATGCCATCTAACGCATTTTCCCTTCCTTCTCATCAATGACAAGCATTAATAGAAGTTCCCGCCGTGCTCTCAGGCCATCCATGCATTGGCCCCCAAAAGTAAGCACTAATGCATGCCCTCAAGGGAGGTGGGCGGGCGGGCTGGCTAAGCTCGATGGACTGTAGTTACGACTTTGGGATGGATGTTTTGTGACATTGATGTTTGTTGTACATCAGTAAGGGTCAGCGTCCGCTTCAGCTCCATCCTAGCATGGCCGATCGACGTCTGAGATAAGTTGTTCTCTATTTAGACCACCACCATCACCATCACCATCATCATTACCATTACCATTACCATCAGGCCAAGATCCTATCACACTACCTTTCGTACCGTCATAGTGCTGTCTTCACTGCCACCTTTACCATTACTATCAGTATCCTTGAAGAGATCATGTCAGGCACAACGGAAGTCAACTTGCAAGAGGACCGAGGCCCACGCATGCGGGTTCTGCTAATTGTCATGGCCATTCTACCAAGCATTGCCGTTGCTCTGCGGTTCTGGTCGCGAACGAAATTGCCCACAAAGGGCTCATTTCCACGCCTATGGTGGGATGACTGGGCTGCTCTTCTGGCGGGGGTAAGTACTAGTATTCTGATTTAATCTCCGATTGGATGTGTTTCTCTCTTTCCTCCTTTTTTTCTCCACTAAAATGTCAACAGATGATCAACATTGCCGTGTGTGCCATGGGACTCAAGATGTGCGACATTGGCATGGGGCGGCATGTGGAGGTGGTGTCAGCGGAGAATTTGACAATCTTCCTGAAACTTCTCTGGGCGGAGTACTTCGTGTTTGACACGGGCACTTCGGTGGCCAAAGCCTCAGCCTTGTTCTTCTACTCGCGGCTCTTCAGCCAGGCTAACACCCGCTTTCGATATTGCATCTATGTGGTGCATGCATTGAACGCCCTCTGGCTGGTGGGCATTCTCCTCTCCGTCATCTTCGAATGCACGCCGATCCAGAAGGTCTGGTACCCCACCCTGCCCGGTCGATGTGATAATTCCCGCATTCTGTGGATGGGCAGTGGCATTCCCAGTTTGATTATTGATGTCTTCATCCTGGTCCTTCCGGTGCCTATGGTCCTGCGGCTCAAGATGAATCCCACCCGAAAGATGCTGGCCATCGGTGTGATTGTGCTCGGTTATTTGTGAGTATTATCATTGTTACCCACCCCTTCTCCCTTTTTTTTTTATTTATAGAAACTACAATATTAATCGTTCGACTTGCTTATGTTGTCTAGAGTGGTAGTTGTCTCTATTGGTCGACTTGTCTCGATCGTTCAATCTGGCGACGGACTTCAAACCGATCCTACCTGTGAGCCTCATTCCACCCACCCTCTCCTCCTTTCAGACTATTTGGCATTCTCCATTCAAGCAAAACAAGGAAGAATAATAATAATAACATACCAATCAGTTAACATCATTACTCCTGTCTATTGGCTGGGATCCGAGATCCCCATTTCGGTCATCAGTGTCTGTCTGCCCAGTATCTTTCTCCTCATCCGTCATCTCTGCGCCCGCCAATTCCAGTCTCTCGGGGGTGGCAGTACCGGCACGCCTCAAGATTCCTATCGTTCCTCCACCCGCAAGTTTATCTACCAGAAGCGCCCTGAGCGGGGTTCAAGCTTAGGGGGAGGCGTTCCCCGCGGCGACTTTCCGCATCCTGCAGATAGCAACAATGATATAGTCCCGCTTAATTGGGTGGAGCCGTCCATTATAGCTCCACAGTCGATGCGAGGGAGTGCACCTAGGGCCGGAGAGATTATAGTCAAGAATGATATCGTAGTGTCTTAACTAAGCTTACGTGGAAACGAAGGGGGTGGCGTTGGCATTGACCGGTGTTGCTGTGGTTGATCAATTGTTCTATTCAGGGTATCTTATCAGGGTAAATAGCGGCAAGTCAGTCCGCAGTTCGCTTAGTGGCGTAGCAATGCAAAAAAGGAACCTTATTTGCTTTGGTGAATTTGACTAAGCGATAACTGTAAGGCTGTGCCAACACGCTGCGGCGGCTGACTGCTGCATGGTGTATTGTCTAGCGTCAACTGCGCTGGCTCGCCTTTGCCGCTTCAGGTATTGATCGGTCTTCCATCCCTGCATGTCATGGCTGTGATGGCCCCCATCTTTTGCCGTGTGTCACCAGCTACTTTCTGGCTCGTCGCTGACCTTACAGGGATAGTCCTCCAAATCAAAGCTCCTAGAAAGCGCGCCCTCATTCATACATTGAACTTAAGTATGATGCCCGAAGAACCCGCCATACGATGGGAAGGGAAGTGAGTGGTTTGCCTTAACGCCTCCCACGATATTCCCATACACTTGATCTTACCTTCTATGTCTCTCTCTTTCCTGTCAGTTCCTAAGAGCCTTGCACCCTCCAAGTTCTAGTCTCATTTCATCATGTCCGAGACTCGAGCTTCAACAACGGTTGAGGGCCATGAGACAGCCGCAACCGTTCCGGGCCATCACGAATCGAAGCCCCTGACATGGTTTCTTGTCGTCTTCTCCTTATTAGCAGCCCTGTTCCTGTTTGCACTGGACAACACCATTGTGGCCAATGTCCAACCTGCTATCATCGGAACTCTGGGGGAAATTGAGAAACTCCCATGGATCTCCGTTGCATTTGCCCTTGGGGCCATCGCCACAGATCTCCCTTGGGGCCAGATCTACGGACACTTCAACAACAAATTCCTCTTCCTCGCCAGCGTAGTGATCTTCGAGTTGGGCTCCGCTGTCTGCGGAGCGGCACCCACCATGAACGCGCTGATCGTGGGTCGGGCGATTTGTGGCATCGGCGGCATGGGCATCTATCTGGGCACGGTCAACATGGTATCGGCATTGACCACGGAAGCCCAACGACCGCTCTACCTGGGGTTTGTCGGGTTGACGTGGGGGATTGGGACCATTCTTGGACCCATCATCGGGGGTGCCTTCGCCGACAATACCTCGGCCACCTGGCGCTGGTCCTTCTACATCAATCTCTGCATCGGAGGGCTAGCAGCCCCGGTGTACTTCTGGCTGCTGCCCCAGACCGCCTCACCGCGCCCAGGACAGTCGCTATTGACGCGCATATGGGCGCTGGATGTAGTCGGGATGGTGCTGAGCGCGGGGGCCATCACCAGTCTCATCATGGCGATCTCGTTCGGGGGCAGCTTGTATGCATGGGGGAGCGGGCGGATCATCGGACTCTTTGTCTGCTCAGGCGTTCTATGGCTGCTATTCATTGGGCAACAGGCGTGGTCGCTGGGACTACGACCGGAGGCGCAGGGCCAGCGGCTCTTCCCGACGACGCTCGTCCGCTCGTGGGAGATGGACGTGCTCTTCGCACAGATGGCCAGTGCCCAGGTGTTGGTGATGGTGCCCATCTACTTCCTGCCCATTCTGTTCCAGTTCGCGCATAATGACAGCGCGTTGGCTAGTGGGGTGCACCTACTACCATTTGTGCTCGTGCTAGTGGTGGCCGTCATGCTGAACGGTGCCCTTATGGCCCAGCTAGGCTACTACATGCCATGGTACCTGGCGGGTGCCTGCCTCGCCCTTGCTGGCAGCGCCCTTTTCTATACCGTCGGTCCCGACACCAGCAGCGCTCGTCTGTATGGCTACTCGGTGCTCACGGCCTTTGGCGTCGGCTGCTACTCCCAGGCTGGGTTTCCCGTCGCTCAGGTCAAAGTCTCCCCGGCCAAACTCACCCAGGCGGTTGCCTTTATCGGTGTCGGTCAGGTTGGCGGTATTGCCCTCGCCTTGACCATCTCCAACACCATCTTCCTCAAAAAGGCCACTAGCCGCATCTCCACCATCCTTCCTCAGCAGTCTCGCTCGACTATCCAGCAGGCCATCTCCGGTGTGCGCGCTGAGTTGTTTAGCTCGTTGAGTGTTGCACAGCGTCAGCGCGTGGTGGCTGCCATTGTGAGCAGTGTCGATGACGTGTTTGTCCTGATGATTGCCGCTGCCGCTCTGTCTGTGGTGCTGGCGTTGGTCATGAAACGGGAACGATTATTCGTGATACCGTCGAAAGGAGATGGTGAAGATGTCGAAGAAGAGGTAATGACAACGAAAGAACAGAGCTCACAATAATTTCCTACAAGTTCAGGTGGGGGAGTAATCTACGTAGTGAACGGGAAAGAATTTTGTGATAAAATTGGGGGTAGACTTGGGCCTTGGTGCTTAGGGCTTGGTGTTTGGTGATAGTAGTAATAGTGTTCTAATTGAAGGTGAATTGGAGCTGTTCATTCAATGCCATAACTCCTGTAATTTGATTTCACTAGGATCTTGTTTCAATATCCTCCTCCTCCTTCCCCCGCTTCCTTCCCGCCGCCCCCACCAACATCTGTGGAGACGTGATCATTATCACCTATACCCGAATGCTTATCATGTCCTACTCTCCATACCTCCTAAATAGTAGTAGCGCAGAGAGCCCTCTGGTGCATGAGTGCACAGTGTCTAGTATTATTCGCAGTATACGTAAGTATATGGTGGGTATCATTCCTATGGAGGCAGTGCAAGGCTCTCTCTCTCGTAAGATGAGTACTCCATGCACCTACCCCCTTGTCTATTTCGCTCTTAGTTATCTACTCCTTACAGAGAGATTCCCCTCCTCCTTGGCGATCATCCTTGACTTCATCCCCACTAATTTCTGACGGCAGCCACCCACATTCTTAGGCTCGACCAAACACTAGTCTACTAGTCAGCCCATCCTTTCACAACCTAAATTAAGATGCAGTAGTCAACGGCCTAGACAAGGGCCTGTCATCCAATCGTGGAAAATCACGCAGCCACTTGAACCGTCAGAGATGATCCTCCCCCCGCGACATCGGCTAACGTTGCTGTTGACCAGGATACTCGCTTGATTTTCCAGGACAGGGCAACAAAGAGATAGCATTGCTGCCTCGTTTCACTGTTTGAGGTTGATGGAGTACATACTTTGTACCACCGGAGTACCTATCACTACCTTACTCTATCTATAATTCAGCCTTGTCTCGAATGAGTATAATAAGTTAACCCCTCCTCCTCCCCGGGAACTTCCCCCCTTCTCCGTGAGCACTCATAATTCCAAGCTTTCCCTGCTCTGTCTTTCTTCTCTCTTACACACTCACACCCTCAATTCTATTTCACCCTCTTTCTCTCATTTATTACTCTTCCTCCCCACATCCACAATGGTCATCAGAGGCACTCAATTAGATGGCGTCGCTCTGGTCGTCGGCGTAAGAACCTGCCCCCCTCCCCCACCACCACAATGAAACCCTCTTCCCAACTAACCTCCCATCAATTCAGTCTGGTCGCGGCATCGGCCAACAAGCCGCCTTCTCCCTCGCCGAAGCAGGCGCCCGTGTCATCGTCTTCGCCGACATGAACACCGAAACAGCCACTGCCTCCGCCGAAGAGAGCAAACAATACGCCACGAACCCCGAATACCAATCCACCCACTTCACCGTCAACGTGACCGACCAAGACGGCGTGCAAGCCATGGTTGACTTTGTCGTCGAGAAGTTTGGGCGGCTGGACTACGCCGTCAACGCTGCAGGAGTGAGTACATCCATTGAAAATATTCCACGTCAACCTAGCGCATAGTTCTCTTCCCATCAGGCTAACTCGAAATCTAACTAGGTTGACAACGGCGTGCACACCCCCTTCGCCGACACCGACATCAACAACTTCGACCGCGTCCAGACCATCAACGCCCGCGGTATGTTCCTCTGCTGCCGCGCCGAAGCCGCCGCCATGCGCAAGCAGACCTCACGCACCTTCACCAGCCGCACCGGCACCCGGGACATTGGTCGCGGCGCCATCGTGAACGTCTGCTCAGCCAACTCCTTCGCCGGACTGCCCGGGAAGGGATCGTATACCGTCTCCAAGCATGCTTGCATGGCGGTGACGAAGATGGTTGGTATGTTTACCCCCTCCCCCAATACCCTTATACACGATACCTATCCTATTCGATCCAACTACCGGTTCCCCTAAAATAAACATATATTAATATTATCTGGTACAGGACTGGACCACTCCGCCGAAGGCATCCGCTGCAACGCCGTGTGTCCCATCTGGGTCCGCACCCCTCTTCTTGACGTCGAGTTGGAGCGGAACCCGCAGGTGCGCGCGGAGATCGAGGCTGTTATACCCATTAAGCGTGCGGCGGAGAGTGATGAGGTGGGAGATACGATTGTTTATTTGCTTAGTCCGTCGGCGAGTTATGTAAATGCTACGAGTTTGTTGTTGGATGCGGCGGTTACGGCGACGTTGAGGTTTCATTGATTTACTAGTATTTATATTTTTTGTCTAGTAGGTACAGTTAATAGAAGTGAAGGGGTTATGGTATACGATGTATTCGATACGGTGAATGAGTAATACTAGTCTGTGTGCAGTGGGTACTTAATGGCTCGAATTGTTGGACGTGATTTGTTGTACTACAATGAATGAATGGTCGATTCCTAAATATATAAATCAGTCCAATACCTGAGTGCGTGTTAATCCCTTTTTAAAGGTTTACTATGGTATATAGAGATTGACAGTAGGCATTCTTTCTATATTTAGACACCGTAGTATCTGCTCCAAATTCACAGTCTCATGGATATAATTCAGCTATTCAATGGATTTAAAATTCCCTAATTTAAAATTCCCTAGAATATAGTACAGCGGGACAGGAGACACACAATAGATAGCGTGAAGGCTGTAGGTTATATCCGTCATTAGTGGCGTATAATACAAAAACATAACTCCGTTTTAAACAACATCCGATATGGTGTAGTGGCTAACATCGCCGTCTCTCACACGGCAGCCGGGGGTTCGATTCCCCCTATCGGAGCTCAAATTCTCTTTTTGTTTTTTTCCCCCACTCCGGTTCTCCACTTTGCGAAAACTTTGGATTAGCAGTCAAAGTAATTAACGGTGCTCTGTTATATTCGAAACTACGATTTCACTGATATCTGGTTTAATGTTAAGCAATACTATTGTTTCGTTATATCTGGATACACAACCAACGATAGGAAAATATAATGAGGTCAATGCTACACGGAAGTGGCTAGCTGAGCTAGACTAAGATAAGAGACAAGAGGCAAAAAAGGGTACAGGATAGTGCGGGTGGGTGTGTATGGTTTCATGATCAAAACAGGGGGAGAGCTGCTTAGAAGTGGATGGCCTTGGAGTAGGTAGCCATGGCAGCCTCCTTGAAGGCCTCAGCCAGGGTAGGGTGAGCGTGGCAGGTGCGAGCAATGTCCTCGCAAGAGGCACCGTACTCGACAGCCAGGGTGGCCTCGGCGATCATCTCACCGGCGTTGGGGCCGATGATGTGGACACCGAGGATGCGGTCGGTCTCAGCATCGGCGATGAACTTGACCTGACCCTCAGTCTCGAGGTTGGTCTTGGCACGGGAGTTGGCGCTGAAGGGGAAGGTACCGACACGGTACTTGATGCCGGCAGCCTTGACTTCCTGCTCGTTCTGGCCAACCCAGGCGACTTCGGGGTGGGTGTACATGACGCTGGGGATGCAGCCGTAGTTGACGTGGCCGTAGCCCTTCTTGATGTACTCGATGGCAGCAACGGCCTCCTCCTCGGCCTTGTGGGCAAGCATGGGTCCAAAAGTGCAGTCACCGATCACGCGGATGTTGGGGATCTTGGTGCGGTACTCCTGGTCGATGACAAGACGGCCGCGCTCATCCTTCTCGACACCGACGCTCTCGAGGTTGAGACCCTCGGTGTAGGGGCGGCGACCGATGGCGACGAGGACAACGTCAGCGTCGAGGGTCTCCTCCTTACCACCCTTGGCGGCCTCAACGCTCAGAGCGACGGTAGCACCGCTGTCGTCACCCTTGGTAACCTTGGTGCCGGTCTTGAACTTGATACCCTGCTTCTGGAGGATCTTCTGGGCCTGCTTGGCGATGTCGGCGTCCATGCCGGGACCGCCGATCTGGTTCAGGAACTCGACGACGGTGACCTCAGAGCCGAGGCGGGACCAAACAGAGGCCTGTTGAGGGGCAGAAAAAGAAACCATGAGCATGAATTTTCAAACGGCAAAATCGGAATGTATTCCGCCGGGTATACGCACCATTTCCAGACCAATGATACCACCACCGATGACGATCATCTTCTTGGGGACCTCCTTGAGGGAGAGAGCACCAGTGCTGGTGATGATTCTCTTCTCGTCAATGTTGAGGCCGGGGAAAGGAGTAGCCTCAGAACCAGTGGCAATGAGGATGTTCTTTCCGCGCAGGGTCTGCTCACCACCGTCGAGGAGGTTAACCTTGACGGTGTTCTGGTCAACGAGAGCACCAGTACCCTTGACGTAGTCGACACCGTTCTTCTTGAACAAGAACTCGATACCCTTAGTCAGACCCTCGACGGAAGTGTCCTTGGCCTTCATCATCTGCTCAAGGTTCAGCTTCACATCACCGACCTCGATACCGCGCTTTTTCGTGTCGTGGAGAATCTGGTGGTAGAGGTGGGAGTTGTTGAGCAGGGATTTCGAGGGGATACAGCCGACGTTCAGGCAGGTACCGCCCAGACGGCCACGCTTCTCGATACATGCGGTCTGTGAAAATGTAGTTGTTAGAGAGATCGTCCAGCCGGAACACCTTCGAGGAACGATGAATAGCGCACCTTCAGACCTTCCTGACCGGCCTTGATGGCGGCAACGTAACCAGCGACACCACCACCGATGATGACAAGATCGTGTTCACCTGTGTTAATTCCAGCCGACGGTTAGCCGGGGGCCACTTTTTTCGGAAGCGCAGGCACCGTCTGCGACGGGCCCATCGCAAAGGGCAAAAGTCACGTACCTGACTCAGAGGCATAGCCACGTTGTGTGCGTCCAAAGGAGGCGAGAGAAGGAGCAGCGACGAAGGTAGAGGGAACGGCCTTGGGACCGGCACAGCGGAGGGCAACCCGCGGAGTCGCCCGCGGCAAAAGACTCCGGAACATGGTGAAAAGGAGGCGAAAGGGTAAAGGAAAAAGTCAAAGGATATAGAAAGAACAGCAGACTACCAGGCCTCCCAGTGAACAAGCAACGAAGGGGAGGGGAGGGGACAATTGGAGGTGGGAGGAGACGGGCTCAAGTGGTTAGAGGATGATAGGGAAAAACGATGTTGGGACAAGAAGCTTTCTGGAGGTTCGCCAGCAAAAGCTGGCGGCCCGGTATCGATACTGTATGCCTCGCGTATGTAATCATCCGCCCCCGTGAGCGTCGGGTCAATTCGGCTAACCTTTGCCATGTTGCCGATGTTGTGCTGAACCGTAATTCCGCTACTGTGTCTGGCTCTTCAATCCCTAAAAGTTTCTCCTGCTTCTGATATCTGGGGTAGTTCCCTCGTCGCTTGAAATCAAGCGTGCGAGGCCGTGCCGGGGCTGCACATGGCTGAATACCGGTCAGTGTTACGGCCCAAAATACCTCATAGAATCGCCCAAAAGGGTAAGGAACCAGACTCTCTCCCGCTTCGGAGTCAGCAGAAGGGAATCAACTTGCAGGCTCGAACATTGCAGAGTTCACGCTCCAGATAACAATCAATTCTTGCATCATGAACTGCTCTTCGGTGCCTCTGAAAATGAAAATTACCGATACTCGTCAGTCTCCGCGGGTAACTGGCTAAAACCCTGGCTCCGTAAAGGCTATCGTCGGCATAGCTCGAGCCAGCGCACGGCACTGAAAAGGTAATCCAGGTCTTGGGCTGAAGACCATTGGTCTGGAAGACTGAAACGCGGATTGAATGGATCGCTCGGAACTCATCCAATCTGGCTCGAAGTGCTCGCGCTCTTTATTGGATAATATGGATGTGCTTGGACTGATATGACGTGACCTGCGTTAACAGAGCGCACCTTGCGGAGCATCGACGTCCGTAGCTTCATATTTGATATGTGGAGTTAGTAAGTCAGCTTAATTTGGCGCTGGTGGTCGACATGCCCACCATAAGACTGCACAGTATCGGGTCAACTGGCATGCTTCCTGTAGTGGCTACAGGCTTGGCAGTTGGTGAGAAGGTTTAATTGATAACAGCGGTGCTTCGTCTGAAGAACATTGCTTCTAGGCTACGACTAAGCGCCTCAAGTTGACTGTGAATGTGTTGTTTTGGTCGTTTGTAGGATCATGGCTTTCCTCGGTGGCCACTCATGCTCTCATGCAGATCCGGAATTATATTGTTTCGCCCAAATTTGTTCTGTCCGGAACGGAAACCGTTGAGAAACGGCATAGCTCAATCACATTGGCGAGATTTCTTCTGCAATCACAGCTCACGTTCTAGTAATGGCAGTGCTAAATGCACAGAAGCAGAATGCAGTGAGACACTATACACAGCGACAGGAAAAAATCAACTGAACATACAATGTCTATCCAAGGTGGATGATGGGCCCCAACAAGGTTTAGCGGCTAGGAAGCTGCTGGCGCCCACTCCATCTATACTGGAGTGCACTTCTACAACCGTTGCTCCGATTTGGGCCTGAGTAGGGTGCTCTCGTGGTCTGAAATCAAAGAACTCTGTTCTGCTACTTCCTGATATAATTGGGCGACATAATATTCAATAATGGATGCCAAGCGGTGATAAAATGCCCCTGAACCATCACTATGGCTGGAAAGTCATACCAGAGACGGGTTCACCGAATCCCGACAAGTTCTGGTAAGAGCTATATCTTGATATCTTGCGACGTTTTATGTAAATTCATGCAAAACTCCGTCATTGTTGTGATAGGGGTATTCGAATGCCATATTCCAAACCGCTCCGTTGGTATATACCGACAGCTGAGAACAATCGGGAACCTTTAGATTCTACAAAATACAGCCGACAAAGCCAGAAACACAAAGTTATTATACTTATGCTTACCTATGCGAAGGGAAAAAGCGCGGAAGGTCCCTAGCACTATATGCCGAGATAAAGTAGTCTCCTAACATCAGACAAGGGCCGTGCATATGATACACACGCCATGCTGCACGAGCAGCAGCAGCAGCAGCAGCGCAAGATCAACAAAGCAGGACTGACAAGGCTACCATCAAGGCTACTTAATCACACTCTAATGTTAACTTTCGGAGGAGCCTCATCTCACCAGGGTTTTGGGATCATCGATGCGCCAGTAGGAAATCTCAGACAGGCCCCACAGCTCCCTGGCAACCGAGATGTATCTGCCATGAACAAGAGTCTAGCTACTTCTTAAAACTGTTCCATGTCATTATTTCATGGGTAGCTTGCCAAGTTCGCAGTCCGACGGGAATAGAGAGCCTGAACATAGGCGAATGTGTGCGTTGATGAGGCTAATATCCCAAAAAACATAAATCTTGCGAGAGAGACCCTGATCGTTTACGAACAATAATGAGAATTTATTATAGCAATAAGAAGATAGTAGTCACCTGGTTAGAATTCTTTCAACAGTCAGCCAAATAGCTGGCAAGCTAAAGTGGCACGGGATCTCCTAAAGAGGCGAGTCGGAGTTGGTCCGCCGCGATGTTCTCCGGATTTCCTCAATCTGGCTGAAATCCCCACCCGCTTGGACCAAAATCCCCGGGAAACATCCACACCCCAGACCATCCACTCCATCCACTCCTCCTGATGGCCCAATCCGCTATCCCAGCTACTCTGTACCACCCGCTTCAGCTTATCGTTGGCTTCCCGGGCCCCGCCGATACCGCTGCTTTCTTCGAATCTCCAAGTCCGTACATGGAGTGCGTTCCCCAGACGCCAACCCCGGATGATGCAATGTTAGCAGCCGAGTTTCGCTTGATCACCACCCCGTTTCCCTACACGACACCTACAGCACATAGTGCCATGCCGTCTCAGTTTCCACCTCGGACATTGGTTCAAAATCCTTCGGTCTGCAGCTCGGCAGCATAGGCGCTGGGCCGAATGACCGATTTGGACTCGTCCGCGTCCCGGTCTGGGGTCGGGTTCCCACCCATTCTCTCCAGACTTTCTCGTGCGGGTCCTGTATTCCAATGGCGTCCTTGCTTTGGAGTGGAACCGAGTGTCTGATGGCTGTTTGATGCCCTCCCACCCGGAATGTAACCATATTCGACTCATCGGGCTGGCACCGGTCCTGTGCCGTGGGATTACTCCTCAAAATGGATGATCTTCAGGTGCAAATGGCACCACCGAGCTTATAGTCCTTTCTATTTAATCGTCGCATCGCCCCGCTGTCTCTGTAACCCTGCTTCCTGGTCCCACGTCTATCTGTACTGGAGGTGGCTGATCTCTTCCCAAAGTCAAGCGGTCTCCGTGCCTGAAGTCACCCAAGTGAAAAGAAAAGGTATTTTCCGGTATACACCCAAACAGTCACTACAACCACCGCGGATTCTAGAGTAGTCACCATGAGTGACCTAATACCATCATGGAATATTGTCCACAAATTGGAGAAGCGTAATCTTCTCATCGCTATCAATTGCATCGCGGCCTTGTCAATCCTGTTTTTCGGGTATGACCAGGGAATGATGTCGGGTGTGAACAACTCCAAAGACTACATCGACCTTATGGGATTCGGATATACCAAGGAAGTGAACGGAGAGCTTACCTCTGTCGTTACAGACAGTCTTTTACAAGGCGGAATTGTGTCTGTCTACTACCTGGGCACTTTGTGTGGTGCACTAATCGGTGGCTGGATCGGTGACAAGATTGGCAGAATCAGGACTATCGCTTCGGGTGCGGTCTGGGCGATTTTGGGGGCGTCATTGCAATGCGCAGCACAGAACCACAATTGGATGATATGCTGTAAGAGACCCATAGAGCCTATTTGCACTTAAGTCTTACGTATGAAATACAGCCCGTTTTATCAATGGTATCGGCACGGGAATCCTGAATGCTATTGTGCCCGTCTGGGCCACAGAGACAGCCGAACATACCTCTCGTGGACAATTCATTGCGATCGAATTTACTCTCAACATCTTCGGTGTCGTAGTGGCTTACTGGCTTGAATTGTATGTATACATCGCTACTCCCAAGACTTGTCTAATTGATATAGTGGCTTGTCATTCATCGATGGCGGCAAATCCGCGTTCCGCTGGCGCTTCCCCATCGCGTTTCAGATTATCTTCTTGCTTCTCTTGTTTTCCTCGGTCTGGTTCTTTCCCGAATCACCACGTTGGCTGGTCAAAGTTGGTCGCGAGCAAGAAGCGCGTTACATCCTTGGCCGTCTTCGAGGAAGTACCGGCGACGATGCTGTCCGCGCTGAAGCCGAATTCCGGGATATCCAGAACGTTGCAGAAATGGAACGATCAATGAACCACAGCACTTCATACCTATCAATGCTTTTTGGACACAAGACAGGCAAACTGCATCTTGGACGACGTGTGCAGCTGGTCGTCTGGCTTCAGATCATGCAGGAATGGGTTGGTATCGCAGGTGTCACTGTTTGTATGTCAAACCTCATATCACAGCTACCGGACTAGTCTAATCTGAACAGATGCGCCCACCATCTTCAGCATCGCCGGCTTTGACTCGATGAAGAGTCAATGGCTTAGTGGTCTGAATAACGTCTTCTACATGGTGAGTACTATGCCTTTACTCATGGGACGTGGCTAACAACTCAGTTTGCAACGCTCGTATGTGTCTTCACGCTCGATCGTATCGGTCGTCGATGGACCCTATACTGGGGAGCCGTCAGTCAAGGAATCGCCATGTTCCTAGCAGGAGGATTCTCCCGCCTAGCCATCAATGCTCGCGACTCGGGCGATGCTGCTCGCGCCAGTTCCTTCGGAGCAGCCGCAGCCGCAATGATTTTCATTTTTACTGCTGCTTTCGGAGCCACATGGCTGACAGGTACATACCTAGCTTCTTCCTCAAGAGCCACCCGCTAATCACACACTTATAGTACCCTGGGTCTACCCCGCCGAGATCTATCCCCTCGCAGTACGAGCCCGCGGAAACGCCTGGGGCGTAGTCGGGTGGAGTATCGGCAACGGATGGCTGGTAAGTTCATCCTCCTGACTGCGAAGCGAAGCTAACGCAGCCAACTAGACACTTCTATGCCCTGTGATGTTCGGCGCCATTGGCGAGAAAACACTATATGTTTTCGCGGCTAGTAACGTCATCGCGATTCCGATGGTGTGGGCATTCTACCCAGAGAGCAATCAACGTACCTTGGAGGACATGGATCTGCTTTTTGCGTCGGAGAGCCCGTGGGTATGGGATGCAGAGAAGACGTTCAAGCAGCTGAAGGCAGAGAATCCGGGATATGTGGAGGCGACGGCGCGAAAGGGTAGCGTGGTGTTGGAGCATGTGGATGTATGAGCACACCTTGATGACTGTATGTAAAATTCATTAGATGCCTACTATCGAGCGGAATTCCTGCATCAATCGAACAATTTCCCCTTACCGATTCGTGTTCAATTTGGCATCGCTTTTTACTTACTGAGCGGTCCGAAGCGTGGGGTGAGCACGAAAGTGCTTGGGTGTTAGTAATACTCTGCACCATGAAAGACTCTTACTTGTACTACTTCCTACTATCACATCATACCACTACATATCATGTCTTCTGAACGAGTTCACTACGTGTGGTCCAAATGCGTAGCACTTTGACAGTTTGATTCATCACATCATACCTCCTGTCATATGATTGCACCTTTCTAGTTGTATGGTTAGACCCTCTAGTATGGCATCCGGAGAACTCCTCCATTACTTCTACATTATCATCAATCGTCATACAATCAAACAAAGTAGCTTGCTACACCTCCGGAGCTGTATAAATTATGCTTTCCTCAATAGTCCCAGTTTTTTGTTGAGACATTCAGTGTAGCTAGGCATCACCTGATCCTTCGCTACCTCTTCTGCCTACGTGGTCTCCGCCCACCACCTCTCACGCCTACAATCAACCATAATCTTGAGATCTACATAAGTTCCACCTCTGTGCTCTGAGTTCCCTTATAGTCAAAAATCAAACCTTTGAACTTAGCGAAGATACATCACCCTCTCTTGCTCATCATAGTGAAACCCTTCTCCTTCAGGTGGCACTTCAGCAGCGAATGGGGTCTTTCCAAGATCGAGTTTGAAAAAGACACTCGGCCCACCATCTCCATAGTTCGGATAGACCCAAATTGCGTCATAATGCACACTCATGCGACTATTCCGGAATTCAGGAGGGATCCATAACAACTTTCGCCCCCTTTGGAAAATCCACTCTTCCCCAATCCACAAACTGGATGGACAATACATTTCAGTTGTTGGGGAACGATTATTGACCGGAATGAGAACTTGCCCTCGATCGAGATTGAGGTACCGACCGTCGCTTGAGAATGACATTTCTTCGATATATAGTAAGCATATATCGGGCAATGAAGTGTGAAATGTGCAAAACCGTTCTCCAGTGTTGCAATTTATGATGAAAATGATGAGCTTCTCGACTTGTGAACTTGATGCTATAGCAATCAAATGTGACCAGGCCGCCATTGGACTGCCAAAAGCAAAGTGTCCTGCCGCACATGGTATGTTATCAATAAATCCTGTTGCTAGATTGTACGTAACTAGAACAAGAGTACTGCGTAACAAGTTATGCGTGGCGGTGTCAAAACGCTGCAGCGTCTGCATAACAATGTAATCACCATTTGCAGAATAGATCAACGAGCCTGTCCGATGTAAATCATCCGAAGGACGGATACATTCATTCACATACTGAGAATGAGGCATGCTTGTTTTCCAAGCCTTGAGTATACAACAGCTTGACTCAAGTTTCTTATTCTGAACCCAAATGGCAACAGCATCAGACTTCGGCGAGAATGTTATGGCTGGCTTGCCTGGGAGTTCTGTAAGCCAATTGGTTCTCTTCTTGTTTCTCAAGTCCCATATTTCGACGCCGTGTGAGAAGATCAAACCGATAAATTGACAGTCTTGCGAGAATTGAAGACCACATATTTCCCCTGGTAGAGGAATAGATAATGTTTCAGACATTCCTGCGTCCAATACCCTTACATGCCCTTCACCAAGAACAGCATATTTCTCCCCGTTAGAGGATGGTATGATTTGGAATGATATGTCTCCATGGCAAAACTCTGGAAACTGCCTTTCCAAGTCCATACTCAACAAATGAGCTCTAGGTTTATTGAGGATCCTTCCCCTCAGTATCAGTGCGCTCAAATTCCCCTGCATGAATTGGAGAGATTTGAACTCTTCAGTATAAAACCGACATTTCCCCGTGTCTTCTTTCCGTAACATCGTGGTAGCATTTTGAGTATTGGTGATGACCTCAATTCCAAAAAGGTAAGTCATCTTGGCTTCAGGTTTGGCGAGCTCGGTTTTCTGTAACATCATGGTAGCATTTTGAGTATTGGTGATGACCTCAATTCCAAAGGGGTAAGTCATCTTGGCTTCAGGTTTGGCGAGCTCAGTGTGGGGACGATCAACTGCAATGTCCCATAGTCGAAGTGCACTATCGCCGGTGCATGATGCTAATAATGATCCATCGTGGGAAAGAGCAATTGTTGTGAGCGGGCCTTGGTCGCATCGGAAACTTAAGATTTGGGTCTGAGTAACTGAATCCCAGACACAAACAGTACCGTCCAGAGAGGAAGTTGCAAAGAAGCGGCCGTCGGCAAATAAAGCCGTTGCCCATAATTCACAATCACGAGTTTTGCCAGAAGCAATCAGTTTGGTACTCAGTCGTCCTGTTTTGGCATCCCATATTTCCACCAGATGCCGATTCGATATGAGAACTCGGTGCCCATTCCTCGAAACGGAGAAGTTAGTTTTCGAACCTGCAGATCCCTCACCCTCTTCAATACACTCAAGTTCTGTGCCCACTTCATTAAGCAAGTAGATCTCCCAAGTATGTCCCAAATAACCTGAATAGAGTACCACAGCCTCATCATTGAACAAGAATCCAACCACTAATGTCTCCAAGGCATTGATTGTGCCCGGTTTGTCCGGTTTGTCCGAGAAAGGCGTTGAAGGTGCATGAATCTGTTGACGAAGGCGATAATTCCAGACTTCAACAGAGAAATCCACCCTGGAAAATATCAGAGAGTCGCTAACTGGGGAGAAAGCAATACGATGGATATCGTATTTACCCACTTCACCCAGAAAGTACTCTTCGTCAGTCTCAAACTTCCACAGTCTGACTCTTCCGTCCTCAGTCCCATGCGCTATTAGACTTCCATCTTGGGAGAATTCAACACCAGAATCTAGCCCTATTTTTGTTTGATACTTCACCTTCCCTGTTTGAGCGTTCCACAGCTTGAGATAATAATTGCCATCCTGATTGTAAGACGAAGCACCTGTCCTTCCATCTGGGGAGAATACAATATTTCCAGGGTTTCTATTTTCGGGTTCAATGACAAAGAGCTCCCGTGACCAGTCATCGTCCATGACGGGTTGTTGTGTCACCCATGAGGGTATGAGGTGTGAATAAATCTCTTTGATGAGACTTTTCATTGGACAGAATACGAGAGCAGAAGAATAGACCTGCAAAGGTGCTTGCTCAATAATATGCCGATTGTGAAGTAAGAATCTCCTCGCATCTCTGACAAGCGGGAAGTGATGAGAGTCCTGTTATGGGCTGTCAGTAAGAGGATATGGTTAGGAATAAGGTGGATTGACATACTCTAGCAAGGTCCTGGAGAGAACTGAGTTGAAAAACACCAACTTCAAGCTCACCCATGAGGCTCAAGGCTTCGAACCAAAAGAGAAGCTTTTGTCGAAGAAAATCCCCAATCATGCCCCCATTATCATTCAGCAACTCACTTTGCTCATCCCTGCCCAGCTGGATGAGATGATCGATCCAATAGCGACACGCGTAACACAATGCAGCTGGTAGGAAAATCTCCAGTCTTTCCGAGGGAACATCTGACGGTGATGAGTCAGGAAGTACGAAGTCACAAAGATTTTGCTTAAGGCTCTTCATTGTTTCCATACATCTTTCAAACAAGATCAAGTGCAGCTGTTGAGGATTGATGTAAAGCTCCGGGGTGCTTTTGCAGCGCTCACGACTCAACAAAAGGTCGCGCAAAGAAAGATGAACTGGACGAATTGGATCATTTGCAGCCCGAACATCCAAAAGCGATCTGAGGGGCTCAACGCATCTTTGGATACGCTTATCCTTCAAGGATGAAGAGAACAAAAGTGTTTCTAAAGTGGAAGCTGAGGCTGGCTTGAATATGACCATGATAGTCCCAACAATCAGTCGGAAGTCTTCGATCATGATTTCCCGCTCTTTCCTGGATCTCGCATTTAGAGACATCTCTATGACCCTGATATAAATGTTGTCCAACTTCGCCTGGGGGGTTTCAGCTTCGCTATCGTCTTTGAGGATTTGATCCAGTCGGGAGGAATAGTAGTATGGATCTTCCAGAAACCGGCAACACGTTGAAGCATACACAAAAAGTCCGTCCGACTTCTCCTTCAGCTTTTCGATATTCACTTGACCTGGCCAGCCCTCTGGCATCGTGGATTTGTATTCTTCCCTGATTCTTTTCAAGTCTGTTTCAAGAAAGCGAGTGATGTCATCACTCTCAGGTGAGATCTTATGAAGTGGCTGAGAAAGGTACAGTTCGGGCGGCAGGCTCTCAATAGCAAATCGAATGTGGGCTTCTGGGCGGCTGGTGATTAAGAATCGGACAGATGGCAGATCTCTTATGGAGGCCAACAGTTTCAACACAGTGGCAACTTTGTCTTGGTCCCTACACTCATCAAGGCTATCAACAATCATAATGAAGCGCCAGTGAGCCTGTGAAGAACTGGTAAGCTTATGCAATGGCTCGGAAATGAGGTTAGCCCATTGTACTCGAAGTCCTTTTTCTTCGATGCGCGCATCCTGATCAATGGCATCAACAATGTACTGCCTTATGTCCGGCAAGGACTCCGCCAAGCACTGTGTCAGGGTTGGGAAAAGGTACTGGCTGTTGTTGCGTTCCGGCTCAAATTGATTGAAAAAGAAACTTCCCCCCAGTCTGATAGTAGCATCAACAGGGCTGCCATCTGGCCACTCTCTGTCCTGAAGCGCCCATGCAATAGTCCGAGCAATTGTTGACTTGCCCGTTCCAGCCATCCCATGAAGCCAAAGCACTGGATTTCCATCGCCCTTGCACCAATTCTGAAGCATGTCCAACGTCTCCACTTGAGTGTCTTTTAGACATCTTGGCTCTTCAGCGTTTTTGTATGAATCGAATGGGGCCATGGCAGAGTACTTGAAAGCCCTCAATATTCGATCTCTCTGCTCTGACATCAGACGTGTCTGGTTTCTCAACTCCTTCTTGATATCCTCGACCATTTTCGAAAACTTATCGACTTTGCTCCCAATCTCAAAGATCATGCCGTTTGTGACAGATTCCAGGTCGCGGTCGAGGCTATCCCTCGTTGTCTGTAGCTTGTTCAGGCTCGTACTCCAATTTTCGTCTCCGAGGCTGTCCTTCAGATTTTCGAAATATCTAGAGGCTCTATGATGTCGAAAATGCTTTATGAGGCGGAGCTGATAGACATATATCTGGGAATACATATCGACGAATTTGTCTTGGATGAGCAAAAGAAGATTCACCTTGTCAACCGAGGTCCTAGAAGTTTCAAGATCTCTTAGGACTCGGACTGCCTCTTGTGCATGTTAATCATCACTCGAATGCTTACGCTGAGGTCATGGCGGCTCGGTAGTATTTGTCTTCCTCCACATAGCGGTAGCGAACTAGCAGAGCAGAAATGTCATCCAATCCACTCATGGCATCCGAGTCCTGCTTCAAGATGTTTGCGAGCACCTACAGGGTTTCAGAAACAGCAAGACAGTTCGAGATCAATCAACTTACTGGGAGAGCAACCATAACTCCGGCCCAGGCCAACGCAGCACGGGGATCAGCTGAAATGGCGGAAGAGACCACATCTTTAACAGAGAGCACAACTCCGACAACCTTTCTCGCCAATTCTCCAACAATGATGTCCTTTCCATTGAATGACAAGCGAAATTGCTCCGACTGCCACACTTCAAGTTGTTCCTGAGCAAGGGCTTGCGCCTCTTGAATATGGTTCAGGGCCTTATCTCCTGTATGGCCACCCCATTCAAGTAAAGCCCGAGTGTACGCATTGATTAAATCCGGATGGCTTTCTTGAATAGCGTTGTAAGCTTCTTCCCATGGTTTTCGGGTCTCAAGCTTCTTCAATGCTTCATCAATAGGGTTTTGAACGGGAGGAGAGGCATCAAAGGATTTATCATCGCGATGGACTTCTGTTGAAGGGCGCTCAGCTTCTGTCGCAAGGCTGCGGTCAGCATCGTCCGTCTTATCTTTGCTGCCAGCGTCCACTACTCCTGCGCCCTGTCTATGTGAATGTGCTTTATTTTTGACTTTCTTATAGAGTTTCCTCATCATGGTGCGATTGGAAAAAGCAGACTTAGATGAATAATTAATAGTCTAGTTCTGACACTCCGTATAAGAGGAATCTTACCAGCCGGAAACATTAACCATTTTAACGAGGATGACGAGTACATGTGCGCATATGCGTAAATACCCAATAGCCCCAAAATTGGGCATACGTTACAGGGGTTATTTGTCAGAGCGATAATACTAGTGGCCAAGGCTATGTGTTGGAATCCCACTAGCACCAACCACGTCTTTTACTACATTTCTTGTATGCGCTTAGATGGCAACGAATCAAGCATACTTCTCTCTGTCTACCTATTTTTCAATGTACTAGGTCTGACCAAGGTTCTGAAAGACTTTGGGGCTCCATTGGTGAAGAAGATAAGTACCTTAGTTATTAGGACCTTCCATATTGCTTTTTCCTGATTCTTGATACAGTAGGTGACAGCTGATGTATCAATATAAACAACCTACGGAGTACACAATCCGTACTAGTGTAATAACTCAACCACTGAACATAATCAGGGTTAGTAGTAAACATGTGACTGCAACAGATTATTAATACATCGAAAGGTGATTGCAGATACAATTTCCCGAGATTTATCTGCAAAGTAACTTATGAACAAAAGTCTAACTATGTGTTCGCATTAAGTAAATATTATAACTAGCATATAACATAATATATATTTTAAAAATAATTATATTGCCACAAGAAGACTGGGGTTATAGCTCAGTGGTAGAGCGCTCGCTTTGCATCCTCGCAAGTATGCGAGAGGTCAAGGGTTCGATCCCCTTTGACTCCAATCTTTTTGGAATTTTACTTTTCTTCTTTTTACCCCTTCCGGCTGAATAAATGGCTCGCTAGCAAAGAAAGTCTGGGATTTTGTGTGGTATTTCTTTTTTCTTGTTACTTAGAGGTAGAGCCTTTTACAGGCAATATGTAGAGTACTTGCAGACCTGGGATTCCCCTTAAGTCGAACAGAGTATGTCCAAGCCTCATTTATACTCCCAACCAGACTTATAGATTTGCTGACATTACCTCTGCATGTTTATGCTCGGCAGAAAGAACAAATATACCAAGCCATTAACCGAGTGATTGCAGCTTTTTGTTTTTCCGAGCTAATCTTTTGTAGATATGGGACCAAGCATCACTGTCCAATAGTGTGTCTTTGGGAGTCTCACATTTCCTTTCGAATAATCCTTGACACATCTCCATGTCATCTTTGGTAATCCCGTTTCTGTCATTATATAGATAGCTGTCCTTGCAACTAAGGTAAAGCACAAGATTTGTCACCGAGATAGGCTTCAATACGATTCTCATTGCTCTTTTCATTCTCTCCTTCATTTTCGTCTTGATATTCTTCTGTACCTACCGAGCTATCTGGTGGCGAAATTAGAACATACCCTAGGACACTGTTGAAGAGCTTCTTCGGCCACTGATTATTCTGTACCCAATAGTGTATGGAAGAGCCTTTGACGGTCTGTATGAATGCTCGAGCCCACTAGAGTAGTGTCAGCCCTATTACGCTTCTTCATTATATGGACAGTGAAAAACGACATACATCCTGATCAATGTTTACAGGTTCCAGAACAGCAGAATTCCGCTGTCGACATGGCTTTTTAGGTTGTCTTTCTAAATGCTGTGGTGCCGGCGCTTTTCGCTTTTCATAGATGTTGGCTGGTGGTTTGTTTTGTGACTATCATATCCACAACGTCAGTGTCTGATAGTAGTATAGCAAGTTGCTCGCATCATACATACTTCTATACAATTGTTTGATGGCAAAGAAGATTCTTGCTTCTCTATATTGGTTGATTCCTTCTGTGCTTTTCCACGAATGCGATCGCTTCTTCGACAGCTTTCTTGATGGGGCTGTTTTATGCGAGGCATTTTAACTGTAGAGAGGAAAATAACTGAATAAAAGTAGAGTGTATCAAGATGAGCTTCTGTGTAGGATTGATTAAGTAAGGACGATGAGTATCATCTGATGGCGACATGGTCGAGAACCAAATGTGGAAGTATATAGTATTTTCCAGAAATCGGTGAAAGACAGAGAAATACAACAGAGGTACAAAGCTTTTAGGACTTGTGCAGGTTGTTTGTTCCCGACCTGGGATGTTCCGAACCATTGCTTCCAACGATCATTGCGGTTCTTTCAAAGATCAAAGGTATATAATTAAAAGTAAGGAGATGGAGTGCGGGATCATCACATCTTGATACAGGTGGCTTAGCCTGATAAATATGATTTAATGAAAGAACAGATCTAGATTCAAGCATATTCAAGGTAGGCAGTGAAAACAGCCGATAAGAAATTGATTGCATCTATCATCTCAAGATCATTACGGGCAAAGCCCGGCATTGCTTAGGTGTCGCCTTATGCTCAGAAAGTTGCTTGGAGAAGTGTACTTGCACGGAACTGAAGAACGGCACACCCCGGAGATGAGCAGAGAACACCCCGAAAATTCACGAATAACATAGTATTGTCAAGCTATACTCTCTGACACTCATCATTATTTAAGGCCGTGCTTCACCCCTACAATTGGTTTTATCATCCCACTCCCCAATCACCCTAAGCCTCACCCTTTATACTCACTTCTTTGTTCAGCTGCTCCATCTTACAAAGATATCTCCACAATGCCTTCCTCATCCGAGCTCGCCCTCATCAGGAAGTACCCCCCTACACCCTACAAGGGCCTGCAAGCCCTGATAGAGGCCATTGCAGATCTATACACAAACCTGGAAACAGGAGATGTCAGTCAATACCTATCTTTCAAAGATGTTTCTCCGAAAGACTTCCGATTTATTGAAAGTCATCGAAAGAAACTTGGCAGCGCAGTCCGTTTCACCTACTACCCTGAAATCAGCACCCTCGTACTCAAGGTGGTTACCAACACCACTTTAGCTGTGCATGATAATCTCTACTACAATATATCGGGAAAGCTCGCTAACATGGACATCGATATCGATCAGTTCGTGTCCCTCGGAGCCTCAGAATTTGAAGGACCATGGGGCTCAATCAAAGAAGGGGACGGTGCCTTCAAAAACCCTGCTATTCGATCTGAGAAGCGGCACTGGCCTTCCTTCGTGATTGAATCTGCAGTGTCCGACGATTCCATGCCACGTCTGCGGCAGGATGCTGCGTGGTGGATTGCAAACTCCGTTGGGGAGGTTAAGGTTGTCTTGATCATCAATGTGTTGATGAAAACCAAGTGTATTGTGCTTAAGAAATACGGCCCCAAAGATCAAAAGTCTCATAACACTAGGTCTCAGTCCAAAGGAGGCCCTAATGATCACCGGCCTGTCCTAAAGTCCAGGACCACAGTGAATTATGGAGCTGGATCACCCCATGTAGAGGGTGATTCAGTCAAGCTAAAGTTCAAGGATCTGATGGGAAGACCAAAAGGGTCATCTGAAGAGGATGTTGAGATCGGTCATGCTGAGCTGTTGGAGCTTGCTAAATCGGTTTTTGGGAATTGAAGGGCTGCAATATGCCTAAGATTAGTCAATGGAGGGCATTAGCCAGACGTTTGGGAGTTCAGGATAGCTGATACTATATAGTATTCAAATAAATCGTGTGACACAGCCCCTATTCAGTTCATTTCCAGGTCCTTTGGGACATTCAGTGTAGCCAGGCATCGCCTGATTCTCTGCCACCTCAGTCTATGTGGTCTCTGACTACTACCTCCTACCACCGTCAATCGCTACCTTGGGATTTGACTAGATAATTAGGCCCGCCCCTGCACTTTATCTTCAGACCCTCTTATGGAAGGAGTATACTAGAAGATTGTATTTAGGGGTCCGGGATTCATTTCCAGCAGCCACATTCTGTAGAGAAATTGGGCTAGCCGAAGATAGATGTGCTTTGTGATTGACCAACTGGGATGATGCATGGCTTATTAAAGCATATGGGTCAAAATACATATGTACTATGCGGCTGGGTTGCAAATGATAATTGCTAATAACTAAGGGCAGTCTGTGTCAGATAGACAGGTCGCTTTCTGTAAATGCATACGGAGTCCAAAATGTAAATAAGAAACTAGCTTCGCCGGATTGAGAACATTACTACTCAACAGAGTACCTGTTTTCTTGCTGTTTGATTGACTGAATTAGTATTGTATATCTCTATTGTGCTTAATATCATGCCATACTTTTGCAATCTGATCCGGGCAGCGATTAGTATCCCCAAAACCATACCGTAACATATTAATAGGATAATGAGAAATGTTGACCAATTTGATAACACAAACTTAGGAAATCCGGAATGAGGACTATATGAAGAAGGAACATATAAGCGATAATGGCCAAGGTGTTGTGGGTGGCCATGAGAAAGAGCAGCCTTTCAACTACTATCCTTCCTTCAACCTCTTTGTGCCTCTGGAGGCCCTTCGCTCAATGACTGACTGAAGTTGATTGCCACGCTTCCTTTTGGTATCTGTAACCAGTTCCTTGTCCTCTAAAAATGAACTTTTGCCCCCCGAGGATTCTTTGTCCGTTGGGCTCTCGGGTTGAACCAGAGACTGGCGAGGTGCAACGTCCGAAGGTATATCCGGTAAACGGTCAATTGCAGAACAAAGTAATGCAAAAAATGCTGGGACCCAGTCATGATAGATGGCCATTGAAAATTTGTAAGACCTCCATCTATGCTTGTCTAATATGCTCCATTTTCCAATACGGACACGACAATATGAAGTCGGCTCTGCAGTTTCGACCACGGGGAAATGAGCGAATACTTGCACCTGCTCCTGATCATGGCAAAAAGAAAAGCCAAGAATTCTCCGGTGTAATTCATTCTCACACCCTAATAATTTGAAGAGCTCAACAACACCTCTGAGACATCGAGTCAGAGTGTGAGCATTTTGCCGTTCTGCGATCATGAGATTTCCTGTAGTGGACTTTACTGACTTCACTTCGCAAGCTAAAAATGGGAAAAGCATATCTTCTATGCCCTTGCAAACAGAAGTCTCGTTAGGCTCACCGAGTAATGGCTTAAGCTTGCGAATCTGCTTGCAGGTAAATGCATGACTTGCAAATCCCACAGCATAGTCTGGCCGCGGTGTTGGTAGAGATGACATTGGTTCCTTTGCCCCTGCACTTCGTCGCGTGCTCGTATCTTCATCAAGGGAAGTCGACCAACTCCAAGGCTGATTTATACTCTCAATCAATATCGGAGTAGAGCGCAGTCGACCCCTATGGATCTCGAGTACTGGTGAGGGAACAATCAATTGACTGATCATTCGAGTGACCCCAGTCTCATTTGCGTCTGATAAGCAGTTCAGGACATATTCCCAAGCATCGTCGCCGAATGCCGTGCCACTGGGAGTTTCACATTCCTCTCTCCTAAGAAGATCTTGACATATTGTTTTATCATTCTCTGCAACTCCAACAGATTCTCTCATGTAGCTGCCTTTAGACCTAAGGTAGGTTTCACAGGCATTTGTAGCATAGGGGTTAGACCTGGCCGCTGTTGTTGGTTCGAGGGTTTGTGTCACTTGCGGAATGGTTGGAGGCCTAGAAGCAAGGTGGGTATTCAATAATTGGGTGTTAGGGGTAGATTGAGGCATTTCTTTCGGCCAAATCCCGTTGTTGATCCAGTAATATACAGCAGCATCCCCTTCAAATTGTGGACTTCCTAGAGGCAACTAATATGATATTAGTTTTGATCCGGTCTCCGTTGTGCAAGAGTTACGCAGACCCACCTCCTGGTCAATATTACTATCCGGAACTGCTGGGTTCTGCTCTTGACGCTGTTTCTTGGACTGCGGTTCTGGGCTCAAGGATGATGGTTCTGGTGATTGTGCCTTCCGCTTAATCTGTGTCTTGGTCGAGGGACGTATCTATAACAAACATAGAGTCAGTATCTTAAGGCATTTCAAGTGTGCAAGTGCTCACACGATACCCTTTTATGCTGGTCTTTTTCCTGCTTAGGTTGCTTCCTTGTACTGGCCACACCCTGTGCTTTCTTTCGACGGCCACGTTTGGCTACGTTGGCGGTCTTTTGTGGTGCCGTCCTCTTCGATGCTCGTCTTGCTGTTTTAGCTTGAGGCTTTTGTGTCCGTCTTAAAGAGTTTCGTTTCCCCGTGATGTCTTGTTTCTTCCGTTCGCTCGTCTGGACAAGAGCACTTTGCTGACGGCCTTTCTTGTTGGAAATTGAAGCTGGCGTCTTCTCTGTGTTGGCTTCGCTTTTCAGTGTCTTTTCAATGATGCGTATGCTCCTCCGACGTCCTTGCTGATCTTGTTCCATTGTAAGCACCTGAAGTGTGATAGATTAATATTTGGATAGGGGGATCAGGAGAATGTCTCGGGATAAGCGTATGAGAAAAATGTCTTGGTTGCTGTCTAGCCACGAATTAGATGTATCTACTAATACGAAAGGGGCTTCAACAGAGTTTTAAGCCCCCAGGTACCAGGCAGGATGTGTTCGCACTCTACTACCTTAACAAAGGCTGCATTTGACAAAAGGCCTTTGCTTACCCGCCCGTTCGGTTCTTTCATCCTTTATTACCAACCCCGTACGACGTTTTTAAAGCCTGCTAAAATAAATTATGTATGGTTTCATATCAATACAGTTTTGACCCAAGTAGCCAATAATGTAATAAGAGAATGAGAGAAAAAAAGAAAAGAAAATGTGATATGGAAAAACCTTAGTGGTGCAAAAACCGCGCGGGGCGCAAAGCAAATAAACAAACAGATATGGCAGATAATAGCAGCCGTCAGACAAATACGATCTTTAGTAATTATTACCAGCAGATCCAATATGAAGCGGATTGAATTATATTATTTACTTAATATATCTGTCATAAAAAGCTGTATATATAACGATAATTTCAATCTTGTCATGTAGTTTCTATTTAGTGTTCTTATGTATACTTGATTTAGTATTAATATGGGCTTCCTATTCTTATTACTATGCTTGACAATAAAGGTACCTATCTCCCTTCTTATTGCCTTGCCTCCTTACTAATTATTTGATAGGCTGGAATGTACCTAGATGCTTAATACTTTTTTTCTATGTAGATGGCTTAGGATCTAGAGTTAACAAACATAATGAATATCTCCTTCAACCCTAGTCTTGACTACTCTAGAATTACTAGAGCTGCTAGTGATATCCATATCCATACAGCTAGAGTTAGTAAGGTATTAGAGCTGGAGGGTATACTATGCAATGCTATTAAGGTTGTTCAGAGTGGGGCCTCGGCTGTCCTAGTTGCATTTGTTAGATAGAAAATCGATAACTGTTTAACCAAACTATCTACAACACCTCCCCATAATCTATGCCTTCTCATCCTTCGGCAACGCCCGACTACAAAACTCCGTCCACCCCTCAAACGGCAAAAACGGCGGCTCAGGCGCCTCCTCTGGATCCTTCCATTCATTCAGCGGTGGATACGGCGATTTATCAAAAACCAGCTGATAAGCGTACGACTGGCGCCACGGACGCACCGGCCCCGCTGTCCGCTCGAAGGCTGTTTTGAACGAGCCTTTTTCCAACCGGACAGAGTATCTCTTAGGGAGGAAGGCGGTGTCGATGAGATTCTCTTCGTTTAAGATGTAGTTATCTGTTGGGCCGCGTGTTGTGATGGCGCGTTTTGTGAGTGTTATCTCTAGATCGAAGTGCGCTAGAACTTGTGCCTCTGTTTGAGAGGTAGTGTCGCTGTCGCTGACGGCAATCTGGTCGAGTGGCTCAGGGCCAAGTGACTTCCATTCGGTCTCAGCAGCGATCCACGCGTTGAATATATGACGAAGAATTATCTGTGCTTATTAGCAATAGTGGAGGGTGTCTAGAATATCAGATAAACTCACTTCGCCCGTGCCGTTCTCGTAAAATATCATTTGGATCTCTTCTTCAGAGTCTAGATTCCATGTTCCACAGAGGATGGAGAGCGCAGTGTCGGTTTTGCACATAGTAGATGGAGGTTGAGGGAAATGGCTTTCTTTCAAATTTTCGAATTATTGTAATTATTATGGAAAATAAAATTTCAATTGTTTATTAAGGGAGAAGAAAAGAGGGAGGGAGGGAGATAGAGAAAGATGAGATAATATAAGACATGGGAGGGGTTGGTTGCTAATGATCCACAGGATTCTTAGTAGTCTTCGGACTATAGGTGGGGTCTGACCTGAACCCTGAACCAGTAGACACAGCCCAGCTCAACTAAATTGGCATTATTCCACCCTTTACACTCTTCCAACATTTCTACAAAAGGAAAACCTGTTCCGAGAATGCAGATTAGTAGCTCGCCCTGTGGCTGTAACTGGGGCCGTTTGTCAGGGTCCAGCTTTTTCAGTATGGACCGGCCCCCAAGCCGCTAGTTTCAGGGTCTCAGGAACGCTTCAGCCTAGAACGTAAGCCTTTTAGGGCTGTCGAGATGGGGCCTCTGACAGGTTGGCCCCCAATCCGCCCAGGTGATCGACCCTGACATGTGAATACTAACTTATTGCAGTCTCAACCATGCCAATAAGTACAATTCATCAACACCAACAACATGATGCATGAATTCAATTTATGTTTCTATGACTATTAGTTTTTTAAGAACAATATTTATGACATATAACATTATCTTTTTGTTAAATGGCTGGTTCAAAAAGATCTACCATCTTACTACTCGTCAAGGCTTCTAACAGATCCTATCATGTCCTCGGCCATTGAATGTAGTAAGATGACAGGCTGCAGGTATCTCACGTTAGATTCGAATATTCAGGGTCCAAATATTAGTATTTCCCTAGTCGTCGTCAAGGCTGACTTTGATTACTAGAATATTCAGTCAATAGTGTAGCTGAGCTATATACCTGAAGGATGGAAGGATTGGCCCCCGTAGCCCTGTGGGATGGGTGCAAGCATGCTCTTCACGTATAGCATGGCTGTGCTCAGAATAATCAACCAGCCAGGAACATTTTGATCCAAAATTGATACTATAGCGCTTGACACAGATATAAAATAGCGAAGATTTCTCCCAGATATTTCTATAATCACTCACAACATAACCACTCGCAATCAACTTACAAGTCCAAGAAATCTATTCTATCCCCAAATCTCCAAAATGCACTTCTCAAGCTTTACAAACTTTCTCGTCGCGACATTGGCTGCCTGCAGCGTAGCCTCTCCTGTTGACCTGGGCAAACGTGGAGAAATCACCGTTGGCTTCCGCCGTGCTGATAAGGTAGGCCTTTACTTGATACCTCACCAGTCATTATGTTCAGAGCTAAAAATTCCCCTTTGTATTAGACTCAAGCCGAAAAATACAACAAAGATGGCCTCTACTTTGACCACGGTCATGTAATGTGGGGTGCCCAGATTGGTAAAGGAGTGTACACCTCTCCTTCCCGTGATGAGTATGAGGCGCTGGCTGCTCCTGATGCCTGGTATGTAACACAAAATAACGCATATCCTATACTCATCATGCTGATATGTTTTTCTAGGTACTGCGTCATCAAAGCAGACAAAGCAGCCTTCGACAAAATCCCAAAAGTCTGGATCCCCGAGAAGAACCAACACAACCAGAGAATGTGGAACCAGAAAGATGAGAAGCGAATCGACGAATACATCGAAAGCCTTAACGAGAAGCCATCGAGCTCTCTCCGTTTCTCGATCATGCCTCACGGTAGAGATCGCAGCCGTCAGCAAATGCTGATTGTCCCGGAACTTGCTGATAAGAAGCATTTCACCATCCACTGCTATGAGAAGAAGGAGGATGTTAAGGAGGGGCCTGTTAATTACGATAGCTGGCATCCTAAGGGTGAGAAGGGGAACTAGGCTGGTACTGATTGTGACTGGGTGTTTTGTATGCTTGATCTAGTGTTCCGAGTGCCTTATGTGGTTGTCTGTTGTTAAATGGTCCCCAAGCAAACCCCATCATTTCCCCCCCAGATTGTCATTGTGTGCTTTTTGTACTTTATACTAGAAAAACAAAATATATCTTTGGATGGTTGCCCATGAGATGTAGGATGATGTTGTATTCAATACAAAGTTATTGAACGGGAGACACACGGATGATGTAGATTCTATTCCTGACTAGGAAGGTGCGGCTCGTCTGCAGCCTTTCTATACTGTATGCTTCATGGAGGATTAGCGATAACACCAATCCCCAATATCCGGCAAGCTCCTAGCACAATCTAAATACACATACACTAATAACTCAGCGGCCACAACCCCGAGTTATTCAACCGACGAACATCCCACATCATCAACCCAATCATCCTATTCCCTGGGATATGCCAACTATGAGGTAACTCGAGCCCCGACTTCTTGAAATCAAGCTTATTCTGCACCGCATATTCCTTAAGCCTCTCAACAAAAGGATCAATCACACCACGCAAACAACCAGGCTGGGGCGGAGGACTCCGAGTCGGAAACCCAAACTCAAGCCGAGATGCATCAGGCAACTCAGTAACAAGCGGATACCACTTCTTCCAATTCGCCCATTCTCTCCACCCATTCAGATTTAGATTATGATTCCCATTGACAAGGTTCAAAAGACACTGGGACACAGTCTGAATCTCAACGCGGGCAACCCCTGGAAGTAAATCCCAGGTAGCAACCTCGGGCTGATACTGGCCGCGGACGCACACAATATGGCCATCCACGGGGAGGATCTCTCCCTTATGCAGCACAGAATATAGTTGCAAATGCCACAAGGCGCGGTAAACACGATATTCCTCTTCCCATGAGGGCTGGCTCAGATCCAGTTCCTTCATTGCATGGAACCTCGCGTTCCAATAAAAATGAGCTTGTAGCAGGCCCCCAAGGAATGTCAAACACGCACAAGCTAATCGTTGGATATTGGCGGCGATATGTACCATTTCCCACAACACGGCTCGGGATATAGAAGTGGGAGGCTTATGGCGGGCGAGGAATTCTGTTAGGCTGCGTCGTACAGGCTCTCCTTCGTTTAGACCACTTCTTCGAAGAGAGGAATGTACTTCACTGAAGGACTCCTGGAGTTCTTCTGGTGTTAAGTGTTTTAGTTCGGTGACTCTCCAGAAGTGATGGTATAGATGGCCCTTTGTTATAGGGTTACCCTTTAGGATGATGTCGACTATGTGCGTTGCTGCGGGCTCTACCCTTTCGTTAGGATTCTTGCCTAGTTCGAAGATCTCCCGAATACGTGGGGACGCTTCGATGAGGTTCTCCAGCGTCACCCAGTCGGGGATTTGTCGGATAATGTTGCATAACACGATGTAGGGAATCCTTTCGATGCTAAAAGGGTCCATCGTGATGGGTTGGTCTTGCGTGGGTCTTTCCAGGAGCAGGGAGGGAGCCCTTGATCGAGGTAGTTGAGAGTTATTCGCCTGTGTTTCGCTCTCTTTCCCTTTGGATACATAGGGATTACAACGCACTTATATAACCCCATTTGGACTGACTGGTCTTTAGAGACGCTCATTCCTGACTGTAATTGAGGCATATAAGCTCAAGCGGATGTGATTGTAGGATGTAAGGTTCTGTAAGTACCAGACAGGAACTAGATAGCCTAATGGCAGTTCCCAATTAACCCTATATTTCGTGTATGTACTTTTTACTAGACGTGGATATCTTCTGACCCTTATTTGTGTTTCCTACAAAGTAGAAGTAGGAGAGGCTGGCAGCTTTCATCAAGGGAATTAGCTGAGTACATAGATGATCCAAAGATTTTCTCTGCATGACCTACCCTAGTTTGGGACGTAGCTTTCCTGATCAGAAGAGACATAGGGTAAAAGTATAAAGATAGTGCTCTATAAACGTAGTGTGTTATTAATAAGTCAATATTAAACTCAGAACAATTCAGCTACAAACGAATTCTGGGATTGATTGCAGATGGCCAAAAAAAAGATAAAAAACCCAGCTTCCTTCAGAGAAGAAAAAAAAACAAACAAATAAATAGAGAGAGAGAGAGAGAGAGAATAGGGAAATCCCGTATTCTATGGTGAAGGTGGTGGTAGAAAAAAAGATGGAGTCAAAGGGGATCGAACCCTTGACCTCTCGCAGTTTCGCTATAGGTATGCAAAGCGAGCGCTCTACCACTGAGCTATAACCCCAGTTCGCTGATATTTTTGATTACATAATGTCAAATATACCACCACCGGTACATACAGGAAGAAAGTATCCATATTAGGCTGAGCTACCTATTATCGCCTGGTCGTTACTAATGTGTAGTAACAAATCTATCTTGAAAGTTATATAGTCTGCTCTTCTATATCTCCGTGTGTAGCTCGATAGAGACCAACCAGGTTTCTCTAGCTATACAGTGAGTCGTGAAATCATCAACTAAGCAGTATATCGTGCAGACATATCCTCTCAAATCACCATATGGTACATACTTACTCGTACATGTTCCCTTTTCTGCCACATAATTGTAGGATAGCGCTCTTGTTCCTGACCATTATCCAGAGATTGTAATGGACTCTGGTGGCAATATCTGGTTTAAGTTGTCTGAGCGCAGTAATATTTAGAAGTTACTGCTTACCCCCGGGTATGACCAATGTACCCTTTTAGCTTAGCATCATCCCTCGCAATGCACGTGTTTGATCAACCTGTCTGTTATTTCATCCAAATCCAAAAATACAAAAAGATACTATAGGTTTAGCCTATATATGACGGATCATCCCTTGTTTTTGGTTGAGAAGCTGAAGGCACTTCCCGCTATAAAGCATTATCACCAACTTATCAAGTTGGCTGCTGATAAATAAACCTTGACTGGGACTTTACGACAACAGGCACGTATGTGAAAATAATTACTCTCATAAGCAACGCTTTATTAACATTAATATGGACAGACACATAACCCAAAATCCCTTTGGCAATACTCGTAGGAACATCCCGTCACAGTGGATTTTAAACCCTCTTTCCAAAATAAACGTCTCACAAATCCAGGTCTCGAAGGACCATCTTCACTTTCTCTACTTCTCTGAGCGCTTTTGCTAAGCGCAAGAACACTTCTCATCATCCTTATCCCCAACCCAGAGAATGTATGTCTCAGACGAGTTAATCTCAACGACGTCCTGTTGCCCATGACCCTCGTTCAAACCCACACCACCCTCTTCCTCGTCAACCTCAGCCTCAAGAAGAGATTGAACTGCACCCATGAGTAACGCATAATTGGTCTCCTGGAATGGACGTTTATCACGCCATGGATATGGGTGGTCTGCTATGTGAGATGCCAGTGGTTTGAAGACGGGCTCGTCGAGGAAGGCGAGGGCGTCGGTTGGCGCTGGTTCTGCAGTCTGCACTGATTCAGGGGTGCTAATAATGTGGATGGGATGCGCTAATAGAGCCCTGAAATATAACATGACTGTAGTGGATAGCAGGAGGAGAGTGAATGATAGGTTGCGGAAATCCATGGTGGTGGATTCGATGAGCTTTAAGACCAACATTGATGATAAGTTGTGGTAATGTGGTAGATGAAGAGGGATGGGTAGGTGGGTAGGTGGGAGAATGAGGATGAAGAAGGTGAAATGTCTGAGTTGAAAGGTAGAGGTATCTTTATAGCTGGATTTTGACTTGTTAAGTTGTATTCTACTAACCCTTCTCAGAAGCGGAGTCGATGTGTCTGTTTTCTGGATGGGCTTTGAAGGCGGCATGTACCGTAGTATTCCCGGCAATGCCAAATTCGATGTATACAGAGTGCAAATATGTGGATTTTGTTGCTTTCAGATTGTACAAAAGACAACGTTGCATGTGAGTTGCTGCTGCAAAGATCCAACATATCGGAGACGTTTGCGTAGTGACCTGAATTATAAGGATGAAATAAAACTTTCCAATGCCAGACGGGAATATACATTTAATTAATCTTCACCAGCCAGGGGTATCATCATCAGCTGCTCGAGACAATACTTTTGTTCGGCAAAGTTAGGAAGTTTCCTGTTCATTCAGGTACTTTCGACAGGCATCCTTCAGCCTATTGATCCGCCGCTGCGTGTGCACAAATACCTCCCGATACATGTCGAGACTCTCTTGCACAACCTGCTGTCGTGTCCGCCTGCCGGCGCAAATTTCCCGCATTCGCAGCTCCATCTCCTTCCGAAGGAAGGGTTTGCTCAGGGAAGGGCTATCCGGTATACCGGCGAAGACATTATCATATCCTTCTACAAGAGCAATGCCCAATCGGGTGGGGATCAACTCCTTCACTGCATTTCGACCGCTCCCACGCGAATGAACGGCAACGTATTGTCTTTCCTTAATTTTAGCAATGTGCTCCGCCATGGTAGCATCCGTACCAATTCCATTAGCGTCCATCAGGCCAATAAGTTCCGGTTCGGTGAGGTAGTTCGGAGGTGTGGTTTTGCCGTCGAAAATCTTGGCTTCAGTGGGTTCAAACATTTCACCCATCTGGAAGTTTGGCAGTTGCTGACTACTCTCCCACTTGTCGTAGACGTAGACATCTAGATAGTTTCGTTCGAGAACTAAGAGGCCCTTGGCGTGGAAGAACTCGTCGCCGTATTGGATCTCGACTTCCGTCGACTGACCCTTGGCATCCTCGGAGCAGCAGGCAAGGAAGCGACGGACGACGAATTCGTAGACTTTCTTCTCGTCGGCCGTAAGAGCCGTGGGTGCGACCCAGCAAATAGGGTGTATAGGTGGGTGGGCTTGATCGTTGTGTCGACCTGATCGTGGAGTCTTGAATGCGCCGTCCAGCAGACTTCAAATGTTAGCAGTGCAGAAAGACATGCTTGAGGGATGCTTACTGTCGAGCATATTGACCCCAGTTTCCGTCAGGTAGCTGCTTCTCAACGAGCTTTTTCAAGTCAATGCCCTTATCAAATTGATCTGTTTCGGTACGTGGGTAACTGATAAAACCCTTCGTGTATAGGGCTTCCGCGACCTACACTGTGTGAGCCATTGCTCGAACATATGACATACAACACGGCTTACCTTCATGATTGTCTGACTGTCCATGCGGAGATATCTACTTCCCATCATCTGAAGGTCCACTGTTGTCAAAGGTAGAGGTCTCCTTTTGCTGGTAGGCTTTTGGGTGACCTTGGTGACTTTGGCTTTCTTTGCCATGAGACACCGCTCGAGCATCACCGTCACCGCAGCCCTGTCAAAAAGATGAACACGTTTCCAGAGGAAATTGACCTTGATGTCGTCCCGGGTATGCATAACTTTGATTCCCCAAAACGTCTCAGGCTTGAAGTTCTTGACGCGAAGATAACGATCAACTACAAACCCCAGTGTCGGGAATTGACAGGATCCTGGTCGGTAGTTAGAAATGCTCGTACAAGGAAGGATAGAACCATACCATAGCTTATGATAGTATCTTGAAGCGCCGCAGAAAGAGGTTTCAACTGAAGCGTTTGCAGACGAGTGAATGCCGCACCGATCCGGAGATCCAGTTCGATTCTGGCCGCAACAGCGTTTGCTTGGAGGTCATCAAGTTCGATCAGTGATCGAGCAGCATGTAGCACATGGCTTTTACCCAGAAATCAGCACTGCAATTCAGCTGAAAAGGAGGTGGTCTCACGCTTTTTCTGTATTGCTGAACCTTGCCCGTTTGATGACGATGCGAGCGTTTCCTTCCTTTGCTTGCTTGCGGATTTCCGTTCCTATATGCTCACCTTCTCGATCACAGTCTGTCCAGATAAAGAGAGCCTTGCATCTCCGGGCCTGTTCCTGGATGTTCTTCGCAATAGCTACTTTGTCCTGCCGCCAGGTATTAGCACGGGGTTTATATCAGACCTTCGCGGAGATGCGCAGATATACATACGTCAGCCACAGACTCGTGTACTGGAGCCTCGAAGAGGGCTGATGGGGGACAGGACAGCCAAGTTCTATATTGGCGTTCGAAATCTAGACCAGTCAAGTGTCCAATGACGCTGGTCATGGTCACAGAGCAAGTGCCCCAAGGGCCACCAAAATTGAAATCGAATACATAGTTTTTCACATATTGATTCCCTCGGATGGCTATCTACAGTACAGCTACTTCAGCAACCGTAACCCTCAGGAGGTGTTGGCAAGTCCCGGCACCGAGCCACTTACTGTTTGAAAGGAGCCGCCGGACAAATGCTGGGCCACGGCTTTAGCAATGGCCGGCTTTTCTGCCACGCATAGCACCCTTTGCGTTGTCATGGCAATTGCCTGGGTTGATCAGGAAGGCTAAGGTGTGCCCATGACCGATGCTCTTTTTTCAGAGCGCAACCAAAACAAAGAGTGTTGACCTTTATGGCGAAGTGGACAAACTCACATACTAATCATCTACTTTGTCGCTGTAGACGCGAAAAAGACGCGAGTCACGGGTATGGTAGGGTGCCTTTGTGCCTGAAAATCTATTTACTGCCTGAGGCTCAAATTGTGGCCCGAGCTCCCCATCATGGCCGGATTGGGACAAGTTGCAGGCCTGAATCAGGCATCCACAGGCGGTTGCTCGGTCACGCTTCCCGGCCAGCTTGTTGTGGTAATTGTTTTGACTCCATCCACAACCCGGCCTTGTCTTGCTTCCACTCACATGCGAGAAGCTTCCCTGTCACCCCAGCAGCAACCAGCTAACTAAAATCCTTTCCTTCAGTGCATCTGACCAAGATGGCGCTACCCCTCCCTGACGTCAAGTCTGTCGTGGACTGTGCTTCCTTCAGCCACACTGTCCTACCCTTCTTGTCGCAAATCACGGCGCTTCCCGAGCGACTGCAGCTTGCAGCCGCAGCCAAGGATGTGAACATCCTCAAGGACATTTACCTCTCCACGAATCCCTTCATCTCGGCCCTCTTCTTGAGTCTAGCTCTATCAGTTCTGTTTATCATCGCTTCGGAGATCAACAGGAACTACTCCCAAGTTGATCGGCTCTGGAGTATCCTGCCGTCCATCTATAATGTGCACTTTGCTCTTTGGGCCCGCTTGTCGGGCCTCCAGACTCAGAGCTTGGATACTATCGCGGCTATTACCTTGATTTGGAGTGTGAGTTACCATGATTGTCTGTACATTATATCCGCCCCTGCTAACCTACCCAGGCCCGCTTGACGTTCAACTACTGGCGCCGTGGTGGCTACTCAATCGGCTCGGAAGACTACCGTTGGCAAATCGTCCGCTCCAAGGTCAACAACCGCTTTGTCTTCTTCATTTTCAACATCGTCTTCATCAGCCTGACGCAGTCCTTGCTCCTGCTTTTGATCACCGCCCCGACTTACAACTTCCTCCTTCTCTCGCGTCTGTCGGACCACAAGTCCTTCGAGGTTCCGGACCTTGTCTTCTCCCGGGTGGCCTTCTTCTTCATTATCATCGAGTACTTCGCCGATCAGCAGCAATGGAACTTCCAGACTGCCAAGCACAACTACCAGCAGACTGCTCGCATCCCTGACCAGTACAAGGGACAGTATGAGCCTGAGGATCTGGAGCGCGGATTCGTCGTCAGTGGCCTCTGGTCCCTGTCTCGTCACCCGAACTTCCTCTGTGAGCAGGCCATCTGGCTCACTCTGTACCTCTGGAACTGCTACCGCACCGAATCCTACGTCCAGTGGACCGGCATTGGTGTCTTGGGCCTTCTGCTCATCTTCCAGGGTAGCGTTCGTCTCACCGAATCGATCAGCGCCGGCAAGTACCCTAAGTACAAGGAATACCAGGCTCGCGTGGGACGCTTCATTCCTCGTTTCTCGGTCAAGCCCAAGTACAAGAGCAGCAAGAAGAAGGCTCGCAAGGCTGTCACTGAGCAGCCCGAAAGCGAGCAGACTCACGAGGCGGACAAGAAGAGCCAGTGATTTTGGGAGATACTTGATGTGCAGCTCACATTGATCCGCCTTTGTTTCGGTTCTGGGTGTTTGTCTTCTCCATTGGTTGCGGTTCCATTTGATATTTGCGAGTTATTTTGGAGTACATAATTCTTGGTGTTGGATCTTCTGGAAAACATATATTATTCTGCTGTTTGCATATATATTCTGTCATGTTCAGTTATTGATATCCTTGTCGAATTTATGAAAAAGTTCCATCACTGAAGAAGCACGCGGCGATTGGGCTGGCCCCTTGTGCTTGACTGACAGCACGCCTTCTAGTCTCTAAATTGCAAGACAAATGTTGTATTGCAGACTCTAATCAATTATATTCACTAGTATGATAATGCTACACTTCACAACGGCCTACGATGTCACTTGAGCCATACTGAAATATAATTTGAACTCGCCTACCATCTATATTTGAAATCCAATATAAAATAGCTACCTACTATACAGTACAATACAATACACCGAACACTTTCTTCAAGAAAGCGAACGAGGAAAAAAAAGGGAGAAGCCAGGCGGTGATGATAGAGATATCAAGTGACGGATGGTTGACCGCTGGGATAGATGTCCAAGAGGGATAGGGAAAGGAGTAGAGAAGTGGGGGAGGTAACTCCGGAGCAAAGTACCAAGCACGCAGGAAACACAGAAAAAGGGTCATAGTCCTAATATTTATGGCGACAACTTGGAAGGTAACAAACAGCAGACGGATGGGATGCGAAAACAGAGGGAAATTGTCAGAAAGGAGATGCTCCGAGTTAACACGCACACACGAAAGATAAATAAGTACAAAACCCAAGCGAGGAAACGAGGAAGTAAAAAAAGACAACGATATATGATATGAGTAAGAAGACAAGCATGCAAAAACCCCCGCCTCGCCGCACCTTTCGTCAGCCGTGAGTGATGATGTTCTTGGGAGAGAAGAATGGTATTCAAGGATTTCCAATGAGGATTTGCATCATCTATGGGGGAATAGGGGTGGAGTCGCGGCCGTCCTTGCCTTCAGTGGGTTCCGTGGGCTCAGGGGGAGCGATGGTGGCGCCGCCGCGGCCGTCGAAGTACTTGGCGAACTCGTTGGATTCAGGCCATTCTCTCGGGCCCAGAAGACGGATCATGTCGTCGCGGCTGAGGACTTCCTTGGAGAGGAGTTCCTCGGCTACGATGCCGACTTCCTTCTTCTTCTTGGTCAGGAGGTCGCGGCACTGCTCGTGGGCTTGATCGATGATGCGGCGGACTTCAGCGTCGATATCCCGAGCCGTTTCTTCGGAGAAAGGCTTGTGCATCTGGCTCTTCGGGTCCTCCTCGTAGTAGATGTAGCGTAGCTTTGATGACATACCGAACTTCGTCACCATGGCGGTGGCCATCTGGGTGACCTTGTTGAAGTCGTCGCTGGCTCCGCTAGTGACAGTGTCGAAGTGCAGTTCCTCACTGACACGTCCTCCCAGGGTCATGGCCATACGGTCCATGAGTTGGTTTCCGTTCATCAGGTAGGTGTCGCCGTTGGCAGGCAGATATTGGGCATAACCCAGAGCACCTTGGCCACGGGGAATGATGGAAACCTTGAGAAGAGGATCAGCCCAGCGGAAGTACCATCCACAAATGGCATGTCCGGCCTCGTGGTAGGCCACAACGCGCTTTTCCTCGGGAGAAAGAACAAGAGACTTCTTCTCCAAGCCACCGATGACACGTTCAATGGCCTGCTCGAAGTGCTTCATGGTGACATGATCGGCGTTTTCACGGGCCGCTGTACAGAAACTGGTTAGTATAGAACTGATGGAATAGGGAGATTATTTCAGTGAATTGTGTACTTACCAACCAAAGCGGCTTCGTTGACGCAGTTTGCAATATCAGCACCAGCAAAACCGGGAGTCAAAGCCGAAAGTCTTCCTTGCAGGTATTCCATGTCCTCCTTCGTCACGATCTTCTTCAGGTGAACGCCAAAGATCTGCTTACGACCATCCATGGTAGGCCGGTCGATAGAGATGTGCCGATCAAATCGTCCAGGACGCATCAGAGCCTGATCGAGAACGTCGGGCCTGTTCGTACCAGCCAACACCACCACTTGCTCGGAAGTGTTGAAACCGTCCATTTCGGTCAGAATCTGGTTGAGGGTACTCTCACGCTCATCGTTGCCACCGCCGTAGTTCGACTTCGCTCTTGATTTACCGATGGCATCAATTTCATCGATGAAGATAATGCAGGGCGTCGACTTCCGCGCGTTGGCAAACAGATCACGAACTCGGGAAGGACCGACACCGACGAACATCTCGACAAACTCTGAACCACTGACACTGAAGAAGGGCACGCCGGATTCACCAGCCGTGGCCTTGGCAAGTAACGTCTTACCGGTACCCGGAGGACCCGAGAGGATCGCACCACGGGGAATCTTAGCACCAAGCTTCTGGAAACGTTCCGGGTTCTTCAGGAAGCTGACGAATTCCATGATTTCCACCTTGGCTTCGTCCATACCGGCCACGTCGGAGAACTTGATCTTAATGTCGGTCTCCTGGTTGAAACGTTTGGCACGGCTCTTGCCAATGCCAAAGATGCCACCTTGACCACCTCCGCTACCTGCACGCCTCGACAGGAAATACACACCCGCCAAGAGAAGAACCGTGGGACCGAAGCTTATGAGTGTCGCAGCCCAAGGGACTTCACCCTGGTAGTTGACAGGAATGCGTTCAGCACTAGGGACACCAAGTTCCTGCTGGGCCTCCTCCAATTTCCGCTCAAAGCCGTCGACGGATCCGATGGTGAAGTAGTAGTAGAATCCAGGGTGAGCAGCAGGGGAATCGGGGTAGACTTGAGCCACCGCATCACGGTGAAGTTCGACCCGAACCCGGGTGTTGTTGATGACGGTCAGCCTCTCAACCAAGCCCCTGTCGAGGAAACTTGCCCTGAACTCCTGCCATGTGATGTCGCTGCTGTTCTCGCTCGGGTAGAAACTGCGGTAGATATAGTAACTGACAATCAAGCCCGCCCAGAAATAGATGTTGTCGAGCTTGAAAACAACCATGTCTTTAGGGTCCGGCGGATTCTTGCCAAATGGGTTCTGGTCCTTCTGCTTCTTGTCTTGTCCTTGGTCCTTCTTCCCTTCCCGATCCTTTTCTCCCTCTTTCCCTGGTTGCTTTCCTTCCTCTGCATGTTTCTTCTCCAGTTCCTCGATTTCCTTCATCATTCGCTCGCTTTCGATCCGCGCTACGCCACGAGCGATCTCATCGAGGTAAGAGGCCAGGTCGCGCATCAAACGCATATATGTCATGAGGGAGGCAGGACGCCCGGTGGCGATATGGTTATCGATGAATTCCTTCACCGGCGGAGGTAATCCGTTCCTCTCAACGTGCAGTTTCACGTCGTCGAGCATCTCATGTTGACTCCGTGGTGACCGATCTTTCAAATGTGCGATAAATTCGTCTAAATGTTTCTGTTGTTCCTTGGTGAGCACATTCGTCTCTTCCGGCTTCTTCGGGTCTCCGCCGTTATTCCCGGGCCCGGTTGATGAGCCCGTGTTCTTGTTGCTGCCATTGTCGTTCGGGGGGTTCGGACCACCGGAGGGCTGGGTAGCGAAGGTCCTGGCTCGGTGTGCGATAATCAGGGCTGACAGTCTTGACTGCGGAGCGTGTGCAGAGAGCGGCCTTGTGCGGTAAAGGCAGTCTGCGGCTCTCCTCGAATATCGAGCAAGGTTGCCAGGCCGCCGGAGCAGAGAGGCCATGGTCGAGGATGATGAGCCCGGAGGCTAAGGTAAAGGCGCGGCGGAGTTCTGAAAATTCAATGGCACCTCGAGGCTGATGCGGCCATAGAGGCTTTTCTTGAAACGGAGGTGGCGGGGAAGGTGGAAAGCTCTTGGGGGAGCTGAGGTCGCCTGTGAAGTTCGCTCACGCGCTTTCCCGCCTTCTTGCGTTTTTCGTCCTTCCGTTCGCCGGCTGACTCATCTGCCCACCGCCGCCGCCGGCCAGAACCCAAAGGAAGTCGGTGGACCTCAAACCCATCAGTAATCCTGGTTGTGCTTGGAAGAGTGCACAATTTGGTCGAGATCTTATGCTGATGTCACTCTTCAACTCTCTGTTTATGGTTTATGGCTTGGAAAGGGTAGATGCTGGAAGCGGGTGGTGGTGATGACGGTAGCAGCACCTGGTGGGGAATGCTGAGATTATGCACTAGATAGCCTACTAAAGTAGTGATGCCATAGGAGGGTCCTAATGCAAGTTACTCTTTACAATTAGAGTGCCCTTGCTAGGATTGTATAGGAGTTCTGTGCTTGATAATGCCCATTTGGTCCCAGAAGACCTATGAGCACTGTCCTCCAATCCACTAGCACTACACACAACGGATAATTCTATAGAGCACGTCTTTGTATGATTAAGTCAATATACCTGCAAAGAAAGCAATAATTTGGACATGAAAGTTCATCCCAGAGACCACTGGATACTTTTGGATAGGAAAAGCTTGAAACAACAGAACAAACCCAACTCCATCATAACCTCAAGGTATCGAACCCGACTACATAGCCGGAGAGAAAGAAACGTAAGAAACGCATAGCCCTTTAGTCGACATCCATCTCCTCCTGAGTAGTTCCATCCACCAACATTCTGGTCTTCTTCTTCTGTCTGAGACGCTCCTCTCCATGCAGTCTGCTTGCCTTGGCAGTCTCGGCCACCAACGGCTGTCCTTCTTCCCGCTCGCGGAGCTCCTTGCGAATGAGATGCTCGCCCTCCATAACCACCTTGCGATCCGCCTCGCGCTTGCGGTCCCGCGCAAGCTTGCCTGCCAAACGACGCTTCGTGAACACACGCTCCCTGCGCTGCCGGATCTCCTCCACTCTCTCCATCGCCTTGATAGTCGCCGCAACCAGGTTTCTGTCGTACTTGACGGGGACGTTCCTCTTCTTGGCGAACTGGGACAGCACCAGCGACGAGTCGACAATCATCTCCTTGCCCTTGGCAGCGCGACCGGCCTTGGTCCACTTCACACGTCTCGGTTGCCGCTTAGCCTTGAAGTTCTGATGGGTGGTAAAAGTTAGCTTAAACCTGATAAGACTGGGCGGGGCTGGGGGACTTATCATTTGCTTCTGCAAAACCGAAATGCCTTGGCGTCATTTCTAACAAACTGAATACCCTTGCTAGGGTAAACAGGCCTAGAGCAAAAGTGGCACGTTTCAACTCTGTCAGGTAGGTCAGCCGCAAGTCCTTACCGCTGGTCAAATTTCTTCCGGGATGAGCAGAGGCAAAACGCCGGGGCACGCACCTCATGTTGGGCTAGTGGTTTTGAGTATGTGAGCCCGGAAGCGGCGATTAGATGAAGTAGAAGGAGAACTCCGAAAAATGAGGTAAGAAGCCGCAAACAACTCCTCGATCCCACCGTCGTGTAAAGAGAATCTCCGATGTTCAGGACAGGAACCGCATCAAAAATTGAAGCGTGGAGCAACCGGCGCTAAACCACAACGGGCAATGCGGCGCCGCTCCGATTTTTTATCTGGACTTCCGCCTCTCCCCCAACGTCACTCCTTGGATATCCCTCCTGCTGTGTCCTACGACCCTCACTCCGTCTACTTCTGAATTAGTCACTCGACTGTTTCAAGATGTCTACCATTGCTATCGGTCTCGGTGTCGCTACTGCGGCCTTCTTGGTAAGTCCGACTTGGGAACTGGACTGTATCTGCATGATGGATGACAGGAGGCTAATACGTACTCTCATCTGCTAGGGTCGCGCCGGTCTTCTTGCCTACCGTCGCTCCAAGGGAGGTGTGAATGCCATGGGCAAGGCCTTTTACAAGGGGTTAGTCATGATTTGTTATGTTATGATTTACCGGCATCGATCACTAACTCGTATACAGTGGTTTCGAGCCGCGCATGAACCGCCGTGAAGCTGCCTTGATTCTCGAGCTTCCGTACGTTTCAACCCTTCAGACACGCTATATTCTTCGACTTCTAACCAAATATATAGGGAGCGTACCCTTAACAAGGACAAGGTCCGCAAGAAGCACCGCCAGCTCATGCTTCTCAACCACCCCGATCGTGGCGGCAGCCCGTACCTGGCGACCAAGATCAATGAGGCCAAGGAGTTCCTCGACAAACACACTTAAGGCTCTTCCAACGCGGATCCTCCACTGACGACTGTTCGGGGCGTTGTTGGATTGGGAGAGGAAACACGAACATGCTAGGGATGCTTTAGGTATCTTCTATTGTACAAGAGAGATTCTTCTTAGGGTGAGCATAGCGAGGCGTTGGTGGGATTTCTTTTTTCAAAGACGAAAGATATGTCTTTGTGCTCCATGCGTGGGGCTTTGTACTATTGTCTACTATATCCTGATGAGATCGCCACTCCTGAATATATAACTATCTGTTTGGTATTACGTCTTTCTTCTATTATACCTTCTGCTTGTTCTTCTTTGAAGGACTTACTGATTGGTCTGTTGGGTAAGTCTGGAGTATGCGTGTCTGGCAGAGATTGGTTTCCAGTCACTGCCATTATCCTGGAAATAACGGCGACATGATCATTGATTTCGCGTCAGTCCCTCGTCACTTGCTTCATGATTGTATGGCACTTTCAGGAGTGTAGAACCGTCACAGGTCCTTTATCAGGTGAATGAATGCAGACAGTGATTGACAGTCCAAGCACTCACATGCCCATGCGCTAGACAACCAGATAAACAACCAAATAGTATCCACGTTTCATCAGGCTACTACAGATTACTACTCCTTATGGGTCCAAGATTCACCCCCTGAAAGAGCTAGTTTGACACACGTCACTTAAGTTGGCAGCCTAAAAACGCCCCCGATCTGAAGCGGGAAGAGTTGAGCCAGATGGACGGCAATAGATAGAACCCCACCGATAGAGAAAGAAACATGGAGCAGGGGGGTTTAAACCGCCGCCGGACAGGGCAAAGTCCGAAAGACCGATGGGCGCCAGGAAATTCAGGAAAAGAGCCAAACTGCCAAGCCGAGGCCGGCCGGGACGGACTGTTCGGAGAAAAAGCCATCCGTCACCTGCCCATTTTCATTCGTCCAGAACCGGAGCCCGGTTGGATCAGATTCCGTTCTGCTGGACTAGTCAACTCTGGGTCTTGAATAGAATCCTAGTCACTTAGTACTGGAACAATGCGAGTCGTCACGGTAAGCTGTACTGGAGACTACAACATGGCTCATACTGAGTAGATCATCATTCCAAGGAGACATTGTCACTGATCAGAATACGTGAATACGAGGCGATGATAACTGTCCCTGATCAGTAGTACGTAGTAGTTAACAGCATTAATTAAAAACCTCAAGCGACTCCAACACACTCCCAGCCGATCTTTGTAGATGATCCCTTAAGTCCGTCCGCAGCGCTACTTACCTCCGTTTCAGGGACAAACAAAAGTATTGACTGGAACAGTATCGAAGCTTTTGCTTACCTACTCGGTTTTCGTCCTTTTACCCTTTCTTACTCTTTTGGGGCAGACAAAGCCAGAAAGGCAGCAAAGCTGTTACGTGACCATTTGAACCTTGAACCTTGAACCTTCGTTAGCTCGATGACTCCTCCAACTTTCATCCAGGAGCTGTGACTGACGATCGTGTTCATATTTTCTTTTTTACTCTCTTTCTAGTGGCATGCCCCCATTACTTCCTGATGGATACTTGTTAAATCTGTCTGACAGATCAGATCAAATTCCCTTCAGTCCCTCATTTCCCCCTCTTGTGAAGCTTTGACATCATCTCCGGTACATTTCTTTTCTTACCCCAAATTTTAAAAGTTACATTTTTCGCCTTATCGTGCTAGACTCTCGCCACGTGCCTGTATCGGGGAAAGATTGGTTTGATTGATTGAGTAAGCCACACTTCCTTCTCTCAGCCATTCCATCATTCATCGCCTTACGGCATCATTCATCGCCTTACGGTCTAATTCCTCCTCCCCCCTTTGCCTTCGACTACTTTTCAATCATAATTTTTTCCCCACCGACTACAGGCTCTAACCCCAGCTCACCCTAGTCGTTCCTTATCGGCATCTGGATTTTCGCGACACCTTCCCGCCCCAACGGCCGCTCCCTTCCATCTGCCCGTTGACGTCGTCGGGGACGAACCCCGCATCGCCCAAGACGCTCGAAGCATACCCGCTTGCACTGGGACTCCACTCCCTCACATAGGCAGGCTCCTATACTTTGCACCTCGCTGGATCCTCGCCCCCACGTCACCATGGACGGCATCGGGGAAGCCCCCGATGGCATGGGCTTCGATATGCCAATGCTCATGAACCAACAGCAGCAATTCTACGGCGCCTATGGACCGGATGGTTCACCGATGGCGTCCGTTCACCAAAATATGTCTTACCAGGATGAGCAGTCAATGGGCGCCGGAGAAGATACCAATGATGCGAAGAGGCGGAGAATTGCAAGGGTAAGTCGCTAGTGATGCGCATGAAGTGTTTTCGGGGAGTTCAGCGCGCTGATTGTTCGCCGCATAGGCATGCGATATGTGCCGGAAGAAGAAAATCAAGTGTGATGGGAAAATGCCCAAGTGCTCGCACTGCATCAATTACAAGACAGATTGTGTGTTCACACAGGTCGAGAAGAAACGAAATCCGCCAAAGGGGTATGTACTCCGTCTAGTACCGGTCCCTGTGTTCTATCTCTGACGGGTTTGCTCTTGTACAGCGCCAAATATATTGAAGGATTGGAAAACCGGCTGGGAAGGATGGAGTCGCTGCTCCGACTTTCCGGATTACTGTCCGAAGACGATGGTGGAAAGACTGATTTGGGAACGCTGGAGAAACGCCTGGCCGATCGATCGCTGGCAAACGGTGGCATAAGCCGTCCTAAAAGTCCGAACAAATTCACTGCTCCTCAATCCAACGCTCAATCGCAACCGACGACTTCATCGCATCATTCCACCCCCCGTGTTGAGTCTCAGTCTAGCCCGCGCACAGCTGCTACGTCGCCGGAATCACAGAAGGAATCAGAAACCGAGGTTGAGGGCTTGTCGGATATGATGTGCTCATTAGTGACGAACAATTGCGGAGAAACGCGCTATATTGGTGAGTGTGTTTGGATATTCACAGAAAGGCTGGGACTAACAAATGATAGGATCCTCTTCGGGGTTCTCGATTTTCTCTCCTAAGGGTATCCAGTGGGTCAACGAGAAGACCGGCGACACTTCCTTCCAAGACATGATATCTTCTGCCTATATCGATGACAATAAGTGGATGTATTGGAAGCCGGAGATATTCAGCGACATCTTTGCCCGTCGCGTGTTCAAGCCATTGCCGCCCAAGGAAGAGGCCATGTCTCTCTTTCGAGACTTTTTTTCCAACTTTAACTGTATGTTCCCGCTCTTCCACGAGCCGACGTTCATGCACTTGGTGGAACGCCAGTATTCTCGGGATCCGTACGAAGGTTCTGGCTGGTGGGCTAGTATCAACGTGGTCCTGGCGATCTCGCATCGACTTCGAGTTATGAGCAACCTAGTGCCGCAGGAAGAAGACAAGAAGGCTTGGCTATACTTGAAGAATGCTATGGCTGTTTTGACCGAGCTTACTATGCGAAACACGGATTTACTAAGCGTTCAGGCCCTACTCGGCATGGTAAGTGATCCACTTCAGAAGTACTTTTGATATATTCTTAGTGCTCATCGATCCGTAGTCGCTTTTCTTGCAGGGGACACCAAATCCCCAGCCGTCCTTTTTCCTGGTTGCAGCTGCCATCCGACTTTCTCACAGTATTGGTCTGCACAAGCGGGGTTCTGGATTTGGCTTGAATCCAGTGGAGGTGGAACAGCGGAAACGAGTGTTTTGGATTGCTTACCTTCTGGACAAAGAGTGAGTCAGATTCTATGTACCTGACCAACTCCCGTTTAACGTTTAAACAGTATCTGTCTTCGGTCCGGTCGCCCGCCTGTTCAAGATGATGATGACATGAATGTCGAGTTACCGAGTGATGACCCCCCGGACAACATCGGCAACGTCCCGTTATCGGACGGTACCAAATTCAACCTGTTCAGATCCATGTGCCGCTTTGCCATCATTGAAAGCCGAGTGTACAAGCGACTCTATTCCGCCAAAGCATCGAAACAGTCTGATGGCGAGTTATTGAACACCATCGGAGATCTTGATAAAGAGCTCGAAGAATGGAAGGATAGCATTCCTGTTGAACTCCGACCAGAAAACGAAATCAAGACCACCCATACGCCCCTTATCCTGCACGTTGTTGTGCTTCATTTTGCGTACTACAACTGCTTGACTACTATCCACCGCATGTCCGTACACCATGGCTACTGGACGAGTCGGCTATCCAATTATGCGATTCAAGGTCTGAACGCGAGACCATTGAATCCCAGAGTATTCTTGTCAGCAGTTCTCTGTGTAACGGCTGCGAGAGCTTCTATTAATCTGATCAAATACATACCCCAAGGCGATTTCGCCTGTGTCTGGTGAGTACTGCGCTGAAATGTACTGCCGGTCAGTAATTAACATGGATAGGTTGATACTTTATTATCCGGTCTCCTCACTGGTTACCCTATTTGCTAATATTCTGCAAAATCCTAATGATGCGCGGGCTCGCTCCGACGTCAAGTTGATGAACGTGGTCGTCAACTTCCTATCTACTCTCGTCTCCGATGAGTCGAATGGAAGTGTCAAGCGTATGCTTGCTCTTTGCGGTGAATTTGAACGCATCGCCCAGGTAGTCCTCGACAAAGCCGAAAGAGACAGCCACTCGAAGAAGAAACGCAAATCTGCTCCCGACGAACCACGGCATGCGCCAGGGCACACAGCAGATGGGAATCGCCAGCCCGCTACACCAGCCGCGAAGCCAACAGATTCAGCACCGCCGCAACCTCCCACGACCGTTCCCTTCTCATCTCCCTCGTTCTCTAATAATCCAAATCAGCCCGCAGCCAACATTCCTAATGAGCCACGAAATTTCACCCCAGGCCAGCCGCTCTCTGGAGCGAACGGCTTCACCACGAATCTCCAGGACAGCATGCACGGTCTATCAGGCCTTGGTGGAGACTTTGAAATGCTCAGTCCAGGTAACCTGGAAGGCGTGAACTTCGGCGACCAAGCACCCTTCACAGCCAGTCCCGATACCCCTCTAGCACCCTTCCAGCAACCCTTCGTCCCACAAGACCTCTGGCAAATGCCGATGACCATCGAATGGGACTGGGCAGATATGTCAAATAACTTCCCCGTTTTCGGTGATCCCAACAACGGCCCACCGAACGGGCCATAACATGACGACACGAAGAACCCTCCCAATTTTCAATTCCATATCCTTACCAGTTCCAGCGGACGCCTGGGGTCTTCAGCACGTACATACAGACAATTTGTCACTTTTTTTTTTTTTTCCTTTTCTCTGCCCATATTTTAATTCGTCTGGGCTTCCGGCGTTTTCAAAAAGTCTAGGACGCACGCGCACAGCTATCACGCCACTCCACTATGATTGATTCTTCTTTTCTTTCTTACTGTCACTACTTCCTCCCTCCTCCCTCCTCATCTACTTTTTCTTCGGTCTTCCTTACATATGTTCTTTTTTGGGGAAAGCTTTCTTAAGGGAAAGACTGCACTTGATACTTTTCTGTGTTTACATGTTTGGCGTCGGTCGGCGAAATATACATCGGGTTTAAAGGTGTAATATCATACATACATACATACGTGATAGGTAGTAATTCTACTATCGAGTTACTTACTCAGTTACTCTATTATCTCTCCTTAAAAATATTATTTATTATATATCGCTACAAACTAGTAGAGTAGGATAGTTACTTCAAAACACGTGATTTCCAAAATTAGGAACAACGGATGATGAAAGAAGAATCAAAGTTACTGCACCATACATACATTTGAACAAAAATACACAGTTCCATCCCTTACTAGACTGTGCTTCCAGGTCAAGAACCCCACTACAACAGTAAAATACAGATATACAAACGATGCTATGCATCTAGACCCCCGCAGGACGTAAAACGTAGTGATTTATTCGTATAATGTATTGATTGATCGAGTGATTCGTTATTCGAATGTAGAAGATGAACTTCCCTCCTTCACGGCACCCTCAGCCGGATTCTAGAAATGGGGATAATGCAAGATCATGACGTTCGGTTACAATAACCGAGATATAGTATAGGGTGTAAGAAAGAAAAAAGTGGGAGCAAAGGAAAATGAGGAGACCAAGGAATAATACGCAAAAAACACCTTGACGGCTGGTACGAGGATGCAGCGACTTAATAGGTACATAAAATTCAAAGGACAAAGGAAATTGGTATAAACGGACATTGTGAGTGTGGGTGATGGGTGGTGGGTCGGCGGACCTTGTTCGGTAAACCTGGCCGAGGTATACAAATCCTGGGGTAAAACTGGCATACATGCAAAAGGGGGTGTTCCAACTCCAGTTTCAACGCAACTAGTCAAGAAAGAATAACCGGCATTTACAGAAGTCGCGCAAAGCTCGTACATGTCATCAAGTGATGGCTGTGATACAGCGGTCTGGCCAGCGATCCAAGGCTGAACCAGAATGAATATGAGGATCCGGAGGGGTGGGAAGGAGGGAGTCTAGACGGACGTGAGTCGTCGTTCTACTCTTCCATTCGGCCGAAGACGCCGTCGTCATCATCGTCTGCCTGTGTAGGCCGGCTTCCGAAGTCGACGTCCGCGTTGCGATGCTGCCGCTTGGCACGGTCAGCATTGCCCGTTCTCACTTCTCGCTCATCGGACACCTTGTATGACAAGGAGGGGTTGAATGACAGCGAGAGGAAGTTCGGGGTGGTGCTGGAGAAAGCCGCATCGGTAGCATCTGTTCTCGATTGATCCAGGCTACGGCCCTGGTTATCGACGGAGCTGGCTTGATCCAAGTAGCGAGTAGGGAGTGGAGGCACCGGTGGCACGCTCGGAGACATTTGCTGTGGACCCATGCGCGGGGTTCCGAAGTTGCAAAGTCCGATGGCAGCAGCCAAGTCGGCCTCATCGTCTTCATGCAGCTTGGCTTCGGCGGTGGAAGGTCGGGTGTCGATACTGGAATGGCGGAAATGTGAAAACGCCGGTGACGCCCATGGGGCACTGCTGGTGAAGGAGCTCGAGGGACCGGACTGGTAGGAATGGGAGAAGTGGGCTGACAGGTTGCCAGCGCTGTACCGCTTGTCCATCGTTGCCGGCTCCATAGACATGTCTTCGTCGTCATCGTCATCATCTTCGTCCATCGGAGGCGGGGTCGTCTCAGCTGAGCTGAGGCCGTCCCGAAGCTCCGACGACGCATCTGGTGACGCGGAAGAAAGATCCGACTCGGCCTCTCCGTTCTCTTCCGGACCATCCTGAGTCATGGTGACCAGAACGGAGGCAGCCTCCAGCAACTGGACCTGCTGATGTTTGGAGATCAAAAGCTTCGAGGTAATTGCCCATGCAGGGTCGTGTTCCCACCTAAGTTCCATAAAACGTCAACCCACTGCGTCCCAGCACGGCTAGAGAGAGGTAGAGGAGAGGAGAAGTGAGATCAGGGGAGCTGGATGACCACGAGGGCGACCTTGCACAGAGCCGACATGGCGCATTGCTCCGGACCGAGCCAGACGGCAGGATGGCATGGGGGGAGGATACACACATATGCTTGGACAAGCAGCTGCCATGCTTATACCCTTTCCCGCAGCGATCGCAGCGAAGGTCTGCCATGGCACGCTTCCCTTCGCCTTTGACCAGGTGCGATCCTTCGCTGGCCCGTCTGTTTCGGTTCTTAGTGCTGACCGGCTTGGGGTTCGGGTTATTGGCATCTGCATTTGTCGGGCCCGTCGACGATCCATCGTTGGCCTGGTTGGGTGACGTCTTGCGAGCGACCGGCGGTTCTTGGCTGGGACTGTTCATGCTTCGTGAAAGATAAGAGCCGAAACCGGAGGGGGCTCCGACCGAGCTGGACTCTAGGCCCTTCCGGCTCCCGCGCCGATGAGAGGGCATCGTAAGCCCCGTCCCATCACCAGGAGCCTCCTTCATAGACGCCGCGACCGCGGCGGCGGCAGCAGCATTTGCAGCGGCAGCGGTAGTAACGCTCTTGCGGCGAGTCACCCGGAAATTGGAGTTGACGGCACCGAGGGAGATGGAGTGAGAATGGTGGCGGGAGTTATGTTGGGGGAGCGGACGGGAAAGGGACAATTCCTAAGAGATAAGTATGACTGTGTTAGCCTGACCCACTGAGAAAGGGTGGTGGTGATTGCATCCACACACGACTATAGCCGGAGTGGCCATGGAAGGGAAGCTGGAGAGTTACCTTGAACGAGGCCATCTTTGAGTACGTGGACTCTCAGGCCTACAATTCGATGAATGCCCTTATTGTGGCGAGCGATGGAGAATGAGTGATCGATGCGGAGTGTTGGTTGCTGATAAGCAGCAAGTGGTGATGAGGTTGAAGCTGAAGAGGAAGAATAAAAAAAAAAAGAAAGAGGCGAAAGAAAGGAAAGAGGAGAAAGTGAGAGACGGTTGGAAAGCTAGTTTAACTGGTAGGCGAATCCCAGGGATACGAGCGGGCGACCAGGTACCTGCGAGGCTAATAGTAAAAAGGTTCAGGACCCAAGCACAGGCAAAGCAGTCAATCACGGGGGCAATTGGGGTGAGGGGGGTTGAGTCAATGGGGGGGCGAGATAGATTTAGTAGATAAAGAGAGAGAAAGATGGGTGGATCAATGAAAGAAAGGGGAGAAGGAAACAGTGGAAGAGTAAAGTAGAGGTAGAAGTGGAAGATGGAAGGGGAGGAGGAAGAAGTACAAGAGGGAGGGAAAGTTTAGAGGAGAGAGAGAGAGAGTAAGAGACAAAAAGAGGAGAAAGAGGAGACAAGACAGACAGACAAGACACAGACACAGACCAGACAGTCACGACTAAACAGCTACTGTTACTAGTGAGTGGTTAACAAAAAAAAAGCTGCAGGGCGATGCAAAGATGGACGGATTGGATGGCAGCACGAGGCCGTCTGGCTGGGACGGGTTACAGCCCTTGATTGGATGAGGCCATTGTACGATTACTGCGACTTTACAGAATTACCGGAAATCTACTAAATTTAATGATGAATGACGATATGCTCCCGTATTGATCTAAATATTTTAAGGTAATTTTTACTCCCTTCCTTCCTCTTTTTGTTTAATTTCATTACTTTTATTTTGCGGGGGGTGTCGCCATTTTTCCAATTTGGCCTTTTTTGGGTTCGCTAGTCCAAGTCCAGGAGTTGGCCTTGAGCAATGCGGGGGTTCGGGCGATCAGACACTGGGAAAAGTTGCTAAAAGTGCTCCATTTAATTTCGCCATTCAGCTTATCCGTCAGCTTCGGGCAAAATCACTAAAAAAAAAAAAAAAATATTTGCCGCTGGTTTGCAGTCAACCTGACGATTATCTTACTTTGAAACAGTTGAATGATTCAATAGAAGGATTGAAATTCCTTCAGGATCTTCTGCTGATTATTACTATTATTTTTCTTTCTCACAATCCTGGTCAGGGTTTGCCCTGGTTCCTGACTAACCGGCGGCCAGCAAGAACAAGAACAACCAGGCAAGTGATGTGATTTGCTCCACTCGCATCGGGGTTCCGAGAGAAGTGGACTGGAAGGGAACGGGAGACCCAGGTCTGGATGGATGGATGATATCAAACAGTGCCTTGGAGGGTTCCATTGAGGGAAAAAAAACATCTGGCCAAAAAAAATATTTAGGTCATAATAACATACAATTATTACAAAGGAGAAAAAGGAAGGAAAATAGAAAAACAAGAATGGTCCAGAAGGTGAATAATCCGCGGAGAGCTTTCATGGAATGTTTCTGCTTGTCTGTCTTGCTTTTTTGGCTGTTCTACTATTTCTGGGAAATCTGTCGCAAAAGGACAAGTGTAGTTCCCAGTCCGTCGTCACCTGTTGGACTGATCATCCGTTCAGCAGCAGCCCACCAGCTCTGGTATGGATGGTGACACCCCAGACATTTTTCTTTTTCTCCCAAACTTTTTTCCTGCTTCTTTTTTGTTTCTTTTCTTGCCTTGCTGTCCTTTTAAGAAATAGTTGAGACGGCCTAGAACAAAAATAAATAAAAAAAAAAGTCTTGTAAGAAAAAAGAATAGTATGTCTTCAGGTACAATGATCTCCGAAAAGAGAAAGAACAGGAAAAGAAATCCAACAGGTGACAATTATGATTTTCACTCCCTCCCAAAGAATCAGAGGAAACGAACTAATGCCAGTAATCGATCCATTGTGGTACAATGAATGGATGACTGACTTTAAGTGACTGACTTTCCCACCAAAAATCACTCACTCACTTTGCTGATCGGGGGTGCCCGCCCCGTGGCCATGACCATACGGTAATTTATTACACTGCGATGGACCGGTCTAGGGCCTGCAGGTGGGGAGATGACATCATTGCGGATGACGATACCATACGGATGATTAACAGAGGGGCCGGGGAACTGCCACCCGGTTTGGAGTACCGGTAATGTAATATGACGGGGTCACGGCCTTATCTTGAGACCCCCTCCATGGCAGCCCAGCCAAGTTGCCTGCTCGGGTCTAGCGCCGCCAGGAGGCCCAAATCAGTTGATAGCGATTGCCGCCCATTGTTACAAATAGGAATGTGCCTGGCGCGTAGAGGGGGGGGTTATCAGAGGACAACTATCTAGTCAATATTTAACTAGTTAGTCAACTACTAACTGTCTGACTAGTTAGCGATCGGGATGTGGTGCGCTGCACTTACAAAGCAGCTCTCTAAAACCATCGTGTGCCTTTGAGAATAACCTACGTCTTTGTCCGTTGCAGTACGATTGGCCGCCTTCTGTTCGACAAACACGGCTCTGGTTGGTCTCAGGCAATGAAAAAGGCCTTTATCCTTCCATCGCAACATTGTTGAGGTGCCCCTGGTCACTAACAACGCGTCAACCTCTGTGTTCTTGCTCTATCAGACGGGCCATGTCAATGATGATGCATGAGCTGATCAATCGGTGCTGACTTGGCTCTTCCACAGCATACCCAACGAACAGCTCCGATTTCGCGTTAACTTTATCCTCAAAGTGCATTGCCGACATGGAAGGCCGACACGGAATGCCAGCGTTTCGGATGGGGACAATGCCATCAATGTAGGGTGATCTGTGCCTCGTTGTTGACAATGTGGCCATGAACAAACACGTCGCATCGACAGGTCAACAATCAAAGATCATCTTCAATTACAGATGGAGGAGTATTTGGAGAAGGATTCGGAAGCTTGGTTTATCACCGTTGGATCTCAACCGAGCGGGGAACCTGGACACAATCGGGTATCTTTATAGTAGACAACCACGTTAACGAGAGGTCTTATAGAAGCACGTCAAAAGGTATGGTATGATAATTGTACTAAATTCACAGGTGGTATGAGGAGTCTCAACCATACGTGGGTTGACTCGCTCGGAGCATCAGCTGTAGTCCGGAGTAGCATCCGACCGATCCATTGACCTGTGATACGCGATACTTTCTGCAGCAAAGTTACCACGAGCGTTGGTCAGGTACATGAAAAGAGAACGACTAGTAAAGTAAGGTAAGCATCAAGTCAGGATCGGCTTGTCGATCGGGCCTGAGGATTTCCGGTGATTCGATCCAACGGAGGAGAGTCACTTGCTCAAAGTGCAGTGGGTGAGATGCGACCGTTGCTGCACTGCATCAGATGCCTTCCACCCTCACTGATAATATAAAATGGTAATGGAATGAATGTCTTATAGTCGGGTACATACTAGTGCAGCCCCTCTCGTTTGGTATTCAGCAATGCATCGCTAACGACTGTCGCTACAAGGTACTACTTAGCTGACCAATTTCTACCATCTAGATCTGCTCGACTGAACTAGAAGAATAAGGCTCAGTAATTCTCCGGACAGCGAGAAGCTAATCTTTCATTGCGCCTCTAGAATATTCAGAAACCCGCACCGTAGCACTCCACCTTGCACATCATCCCCAAATAACCATGGATAGTCAACGCTCTCTTTCACGCCCCAAAAAAGGGACGGCCCTATACTTCAGGCACTGTTGTCTCCGATTGGCCGCAGCGGCGGTGGGTACAACCAATCAATTTCCCACCGTGTGTCTATAGTAGAACCACTTCAAACTCCTCTTTCCCCCCCCCCTCACGCGCCCCTCCGAGAAAACTATTGAGACAAGTCTCTATAATAAGACCCAAGCAGAAATGCTTCACTCGCGCCTCCGTCCTCTTCCTCGTCGACATCCCCTCCCCAACTCCGAGGACTCTGCCCCTCGCCCCGATTTCGCCGACCCCGAGACTGAGGCCGACCCGGAGGAATCTTCCGAAGACCTTTTCGCCGCATTTCTCCCACACCTGTTCCCAGATGATGCACCCTCTTTTCACGGCGACCCAGGCCAGCATCTCCTCTACTCATCTCCCCGCTATGGCGATCTCGAAATCATGGTCCCCTCGTACCCAACCCAGAGCGGCAAGCGCTCCCAGGAGGTAGCGGAGGGGCTACCCCGCCCCGACGGCCAGGTCAACCATATCGAAGAGGGCCGGAAGCTGTTTGCACATTTCCTCTGGAGCGCGGCCATGGTTGTTGCCGAGGCGGTAGAGAAGGCCGATGAGCTGGAAGCTAGTGGGCAATTGAAGAGTACGGATGAGCTGGCCATGTGGAGGGTGAGGGGGGAGAGGGTGTTGGAATTAGGCGCTGGTCAGTATACCTCCTGCCCTACTTACCTTTCCCCCCCCCAGAATACTTTTAAAATCATCACAGAATATACCTATTAACATATTTTTCAGGCGCCGCACTACCATCCGTCGTCTGCGCCCTCGCCCAAGCATCCACCGTAACAGCAACCGACCATCCCTCCTCCCCCGCCTTATCAGGCGCCATCAAATTCAACCTGGACCACAACCTACGCTCCCCCAAGGTCTCATCGACCTCGACGACCGTGACAATCCAACCCCACGAATGGGGTACCCTAGAGACCGATCCCTGGGCCGTGCAGAACAAGGCCAGCTTCAACCGCATCGTCGCAGCAGACTGCTACTGGATGCGCTCGCAGCACGAGAACCTCGCGCGCACGATGTGCTGGTTCCTTGCCCCTGGCGGGCGTGTCTGGGTCGTGGCTGGATTTCATACTGGACGGGCGATTGTCGCAGGCTTTTTCGAGACGGCAGTGCAGTCGGGATTGGAGATTGAGCGGATCTACGAGCGGGATTTGATTGCGGGCCAGGAAGATGGACGCGAGGTGCGTCGCGAGTGGGTGGCGCAGAGGGAGGGCGAGGGACCGGAGAACAGGAGACGGTGGTGTGTGGTTGCGCTTTTGAAGAAGAAAGACGATATCTAAGAGGGTGGACGAATGGGGGATGGATGCGCCATGAATAACGACAAATGACATAGCATAGATAACAACAGCGAGAGCCCAAGACATAGACATTCACATATACCTTATAAACTTACTATTTAACTCTCTATACCAAATCTATTCTTCTAACTAGAATCATACCCTCTGAAAACACACCGTACAAACACCCTGACCTTCCCTCCCCCCAAACCTAAACCTCGGATACTCAACCCGCCCCCAAACCACAAACTTATCCTCATCCCCATCACCACCAGAAGAAGTACTATCAGCCCTAGTAAACCAAGCGACCAACTCCTCCTCCGTCCAATTACAACTCGTAACAACCACAAACCCACCCTTCCTCACCAACCCCCTCACAATCCCGGGATATCTCTCACAAACCCTCCTCTGAACCGTCTTTCCCGACGCATGCCCTTCCCCAGCAGCAGCACCACCACCCCCAGCATCAGGAATAACCTCATCCGACAACGAAACGGCATCAAACGTCCCCTTATCAAGCACAATATCAAACCCGCCTTTATCATACGGGAACCAATCCACCTTCCCTCCCTTCCTATCCCCACAACCTCCTCCTTCTTCTTCAGAAGTAGTAGAAGAAGTAGTTTCATACACATCCCCATGCAAGATATCCCACTCCTCGAACCGAATATTCGTATCGCCTCCTTCCCCCTCTTTACCCCCCTCATCCTCCCCATCATCCTCCGAATCACTCAAATAAGCCGAATGAATCCTCAACCTCTGCAACTCCCTCGCCAACTGCACACTTCTCATGGAGTAGTCAATCCCTACCATAACACCCTTATACCCGCCTCTTTTGCGCAGCAGGGCGAGCATGCTCCCGTTGCCGGTGCCGAGGTCGAGGATACTTGGAGCTTGCTCATCACCATCACCATCTTTACTATTATCGTTGGTGTTAGTGTTCACCGGCGCAAGCGGAAACTCCTCGTCCGTGAGAAACTGCAGGACTTTATCGGGGGCATTGTGTTCCGAGAACCACGATGTGCCCGGGTCGGAGTCGTCGTCTATGTCATCTTCTTCTTCATCTTCGGATTCTTCGGAGGAGGATTCTGTGTTGGGGTTGGGGGTGGGTTTTGTGGTGGTAGTGGTATTGGTGTGTTTTGTGGAGAGGTGGGAAAGGGTGCGGGCGTAGAAGGTTTCCCAACTATATATTTTTAATTAGGTCAATATGTTAGAAGGGGGTTTTTAGATACTTGGTTTGGGGGGTATGGAATTTGGGTATGGTGTATGAGGGGTAGCGGGGTAGAGTGGATGATGAAAACTTCGTTGGTTTTCCTATCCGGATGGATAGATGCTGATGTCGGCTGCTACTTACTAGTCTTTTGTGCCTAGTTCGCTAGGCGACAGATGCGCCGGATGGCTGTCGTCGGCCATATTGTCAGACTGTCCTTGTGTTCTGATCAGAGGCAGTTTGGCTGTGTCGAAAATTCACAAGTCCAACCCGCATGACGTTTCAGTAGGTTCAATGCCAGCCGCTCGGCACTCGGCCCGCCTTAAACCCGCTACTACAAAGTAAACTCCATACTAAATTTGAACTCTTATACTACACAAACTACACTCAGACTCCTACGAGGATATGTTCTTGTTAACTTGATTCAATCACTAGCCCCAGGGTATTTCGCAGCTGAAATGCCAATATCGACAACACAGAATGAGTGGACGAATACACAGGGTGCATCACAAACGAACAGTAATAATATTACAAGTTACCAGGCAACTCTTCGCCGCCTTTTATCATCCTTTTAACACCCAGGACGCCGGTTGACCAAACGCATGCAATGTCGACGCACGGCCTTGAATGCAACATGGACCGCTGGTTGACCAAGGGAATGAAATTGCACAGTGGCAGATGTATGAACGAAAGAATAACGACCGTAAGCCCGCTTTGGTCATCAAGTCATCAAATCAGGAGAGGAAAAAAAAGAAAAATGGTAGAAGCGAATAGAAAGAGAAAAATGCCACCACAGCTGAAAGAGAGAATGACGGTAGATCGAGTAGATCATAATGAAAGCTGTAGAGATGGGACAAGGTCAACACGAGTAAACCTCAGGTGTATATGGTCATGGAATCATTTCTTGGACGTAGCTCCCGGAAGCCCGTCCTCAAGACAATCTGTCTTGGACATTATGGCAGAATTACAGAAACTCATCAATATTCCTCATGATCAGGCGCTCATTGCCTGGAGGCGGTGATCGAGGGTCTGCAACTCGCGACCCGAACCGCAGCCCGTGGGGACCGTCGTCCTCGAGGCAGTCGGCAATAGAACGCGAAAGAGGCGGGGCCAGAAATCCAGTGGTTCTCGGCGAGAAAAGCGAGTTCATTCCATCTGGCATGTCTTGCACGAAGACGTCCGTCTTAGCCAGAGAACATGGCCCGGCTTCGGGACGCCACGAAGGCGCAGTATATTCGGGTTGTAGAGTTTTGCCCGTCGGCCCCAGGTGATAAGTAGCCTGCCGGAAGGGCAGTGGCCGAGGAGACAAGCTGCGCTTGTGTGAAAGCGACTGTGAGAAGCCCAGATTCTCTATCGAAAGAGGCGTCGTCTGGTTAGAAGACACCGATAGAGAGCTCATCGACGACTGCGAAAGGCCGTTCGACGAAGCTGGCTCCGCATCCGAACTGCCACTAGGAAAGCCCGGCGTGCTGGCCTCCGAAACATCTGTCCTGGCTGTTTGGGGTGGCTGAGGCTCGGAGCACCTGCGCGCCCCGCCGACAAACCACTCCTCCGGAGCCGCTTTCGAGAGCTTGCCGCGGAGTAGCCGAGAACGAAAGTCCGTCAGCTGATAGATCAGACTCATGTTGGGGCTGACCCAGCGACTACGTTCTTTGACAAGCTCGTAGACCGAGTTAAAATCCAACTGTCGGTTTTTGTAGAGACCATAGGCGATGACCAGCGATGCCGATCGACTAGCACCCAGCTGGCAGTGGATGAGTACCTTTTTACCGTCAGATATGCGAGAATCGATCAACTCGCACAGCGGGAAAAGATCATCCAGAATCTCGGAGTTGTGGTCCCAACCGACGTGGACATATTCCGGTCCAGACGAGTCCTTCTGAGGTGTGGCAGGCGAAGAGTCGTCATTTGGGGGGAATTCAAAGGCAGACTTGAAGGATGCATCGGACATGGCCGTCCACGGTTCTCCAGTCGACAGTCGCTTCGTACTTGCCGACCCATTGCGTAAGGTGCTGACCACCGTGCCGGTGCTACCAGCAGTCGCGGTGAACGGATTTGCCACCTCCTTGGCCACATTCACGACCACATCGAATTGCGAAGCTTCTTGCGCGGTCGGTTCCAGGTACAGGAAGACGCCAGAGTCATAGATTTGGATGGGTCCATTCGGATAACCTCGCTCGTTGCGCCGCGTCGACTCTCTCGAGTCGAGGTGGTCATCCTCCTCTTCCAATTCATGCAGCACTCCCGATCCTTCATCGGGCACCGTTTGCAGAGGGGAGAGGTTGCTCTCGGACGCACCCGACGGTCGCCGGGCACCATGATGGGTCATCGGTCGGGGCAGTTGCATGCCACCCTTCGGGCCGAATGATGGAGAAAACACAGACGTGAGGGACGGGGAAGACTCGGTGTGGCGCAAAGCGTGCGGGGTCGGCGGCACATCGTTACCGTTGCTTGAGAAGGACCGATCAAACCCGGGAGTGCGGATCGTAAGATTGGCGGGCTTGCGGCGCATGCCTTTTGGTGGTACATGGATTGGGGAAGGCGGGGCGGAAAGATGGTGTTGGGAGCTGGTTTCTACGACAGAAGCCGTTGCAATAGGCGGGCGGGACCCTTGCGATGGCAGAGGCATTCTCAGAGAAAGATTCTTGAGGTTGCGTGCGCGCCTGCCGGGGGAGTCGGGCCGTGCGACATTTTGGTTATCCGTTGACGGTTTCAAGTCGGTGATCGGAGCCGCCGAGTGCGTTTGGCACTCAGCCTTGTGGGCAACTGGCATAAAGGTAGGATATGATAGCGGCATGGATGACGGAGATTCGGGCGAGGAGCTCGGGGAAGTATCCACGGCCGAAGGAGGATCGAATGTGGAGATGGTGGTGGTGGGCGACGAATCAGTGGAGCCTGATGTCATCGATGATATACTTTCGCGATGTTGAAAGGGAAGTGGGCGTCGCGATGTGTTGACTGTGACATTGGTCGGAACCCTAAGTGGTTTGACGAGTGAAGTTCGGTCCTTCGAGTCGGGGAACTCGGGCGACCTCCCAAACACAGACATAAAAGAAGGGAACGAATCCGGGGCTGACGGTGAGCTGGTTTGCACAGGCATCGTGAGGCCCGGGGAGGGTGGAGATGAGGAGGTACACCTGCGTTTGAAAGGGGACACCCTCTCAGGATCGCAGCTGCTATAGATCGCTGGCGCAAATAATGTAGCCGTAGCGCAATTATTGCCACCAGCCCGGGGAAGACAAGATAGAGTCGCACTTGCTACCAGCGCAAATGACCTTTTGGACAGAGGACAATCAGCTTCCATGTTTCAGCTTATGTTGACCTTCGATGGTAGAGAGGCAAGCACGGCTGCAAGGAGGGTGAAACCAGAATGGCGATCGGCCAGCTTGAAATGAAACCACGAGAGCTACCGGCGGTTGTAAGAGAACCAGGGGAGAAGCAGCAGCAGCAGCAGCAGCAGCAGCAGATGATGGATAGAAGGATGGGACGAAAGCCATTCACAGAGGGGTCCCAACAAGGTCCGAGACTGGGAACATACCAAGGAATGCCGCAAGAGAACTGTTGCCTCTTTATTTGAAAGATGTTGTCAGTGATAGGCGTAAAGGATTGTTATTGATAAACGTCAACGGGAAGCAACAACGGCGACATGGATAGAAAGTCGATATCGGAAATAGACAATTAAGATGAAGGAGGGATTGACAAGAACCAGAAAAGAAAATAGAAAGAAAAGAATAAGCAGAGAACCAAGGGGGGTGGAGGTTTTCTGGAAAGTGATGGAGGGCACAATGCAACTGGGAGGAATAGCCGCCCGGTGATTGTGTGGGCAGTCGTTCCTCCGGGGAATGACGAAAGAAGCAGCAGTTGTGGGAGGGTCTCGGTCACTGAGTAGAAGAAGAGGAGAGGGAAGGGAGCAAAGAACGACTGCCCACCCACCCAAAAGAAAAGAAAAGCAGACTTGTGGATAAAGAAGCAAGTCCCTGTGATGAGGGGGGGGAAGGGAGAGGGGGTTTAGTTTTTTTGGTGAAAAAGAAAAAAAGGAAGGAAAAGGAAGGTAAGAAGAGGAGAGGGGGAAAAGGTAGAAGAGGGGAAAGGGAAAAGAGGAAGATCGAGGGTGAGTCGAGCCAGCCAGAAAGGAAGGGAAATGAGCGAAAGAGAGAGTAGTAAGAGAGCGAGAGGGAGAGTAGTAAGTAGCGAGCGCGTAAGAGAGAGTGAGCGCGCGAGACACAGTGAGAGAGAGAGTGAGTGACAGAGCACGAAGTACTACTAGACTAGAGCCTGCCTGTCTGTCTTCCCGATGGCAGGCACCACAGCAGCAAACAACAGTAACCGCAACAGCAGCAGCAGCAGCAGCAGCAGCACAAGCAGCACAAGCAGTAAGTTCTTTTTTTTAGTGGCGGCAGTCACAGCAACGGCAGCAAATAATAAGCAACCGAACCCACTCGAGCGCTAAGAATAAACCACCGCACGGTATGGGAAAAGACGCCGTGACTTGCCAGACTTGCCAGACTTGCAACAGAAAAGAAAAAGTAAATTGGTAGCAGTTCGTTTTGGGACGGGAAAGGGAAAGGGCGGATGTCCTGATTGGGTCCGGCCGGCCGTGTTGCTGTCAGCCAGCCAATCATCAGCTTTAACGCTGTGAAAGTGGATACCCAACAGCCCCATTCAACCAGTTGGTGCCACCCAATCAACGCCCGGTCGAAGCAGAACATCCAGCGCCTGCAGCTCTAAATTTAGCCGCCCGGGTTGGTGTGCAAAGGCTGGAATGTGCATCATGGGCGCCAAAAGCACGCAAATCAGATGCCAGATTCACCCCAACACCGGCATGTCAGAGCCACCGCATCCCAGCATCCTCCTCCTCCTCTTCCTTCCCTTTCCACCCCTCCGGCCTGGTCGTGGCAAGTAACCACTCAGGTTGGCCCCATCGCCCGGGGGATGAAGGGAACGGAAGGAATTGGATGGGAAAAACTGGGAAGTGATGGCCGAGTGGGTAAGGTTCCGATACGGCGACAAGGGGGGTGGAGAACAGTCATGAAAATCAACTGGGGGTTCCTCTCCAGCATCATGAGTTGCAATCGTGACGGGGCATTTCTTTTGGGGTCTCTCGGTGCTTTCTGTGCTCTCTCTTGCTCTCTCGCTCTCTCACTCACTCACGCTCGCACTCACACTCTCAATCAATCTTTCAATCCCTTTCACTCCCATTTCCCATATCTGAGATCTGGCCGACTCTGTCGAGGTCTCCCCATTTCCACTTTGAGGTCCTCATCGGAGAAGTCCAGATGCAGGAGAAAAGCATTCGATTGACTGGAAAAGGAAGGTAAAGGGAAAAAAAAGAAAAGGTAAAATGGTCTCCACAATAGGGTGCCACTGGAAAGGCCGCAAACGATAGTTGGTCCAGGAACAAACCAACAGAGGCAGTGAAGTGCGATGGGGGAACTAGTGTGAAAGGACCCAGAGATGACATAAACCCAGGAAGAGAGGGAAAACAACAACGTAACCGGAACAAGGACGATATTAAAAATGACAATAATAATAAACTAAAAAAAAATGAAAGCTGTATACATACCTGTAGAGCTCTTCCTCTTGTCTAAAGGAGATGGTCCGTTCAGCCTCAACAAAAACCGGAGTGAGGCTTGGGATCAAATATGCCGGTAAGAGTAGTGACTCCAGGAAGAATTTCAATCCGTACACCGGGCAAAGAATTGCAGAGCGCGTAGCGACAGTAGCTCCGGGCGTACAGGAATAAGGAGTGTGGACAATCGGTCAGGGTAGAAGAAGACCAGAAGAAAAGAAATGGTTAAGAAGACTTCCAGAAGTCACACAGAAGAAAATACTGTCTGTTTAACCCACGAGGGTAGTAATAATCAGACAGACCCGGCAGGATACGTATCCAAGCAACCTCCTGCACACACACAAGAATAATACCGTATTTGGGGAGGTTGTCCGACCCGCTGGGGGAGTGCACGGTTCGCGCAAAAAGGTTGTTTGCTGGATGCTTAATCAAAGGGTTCTTTGTGGTCAAGCCGGCTTGAGAGAGAAGACAACAACGAAAAGAAGCAGGAAAAAAGCACGGGCAACCCCCTCCAAAACAAACCGGACGAGAAAGCAGACTGCAAGAGATCAGAACTTAAGAGAACACACAACTTTGAGGGGTAGAATCGCTTTTTTACTAGATGCGGATGGCGATTCAGCAGGGACCTCTCTCTGGCATCGAGCCTATGAGAAACAGGTAACGGCGCGGAGGGTCACAGGCTAAGGTGAAACGCAAAGGCTGACTTGACTGGGGCTAAGTTGAAGCGATCCACCTTCCCAGACAAGCCCCTGGAAACGGTGGACCGTCCGTTATTGGCAGTGTGGGACGAGGAGAAACCGCGGCACGGTTGGTGCTTAGTACTCCGCCGCAACGAAAAGAGAGGTCGGATTCTGCTTTTCCTATTCTTGAACGGGATGATTTGTTGTGGTTCCTTCAGCAGGATGTATCATCTCACTGTTTCAACCGGCGCGCTCATCTCGGACACACCCAAGGATAGGATCGTTACCACAGTTCCGGACCTGCAAACCCTCGCCATCGGCCACTGCAGCTGAAACACGCAGGCAAAAGAGGGCGCGCGCTAAGTCAAACCAATGGGGACGGCGGTGGAGGGGTTCAGCCCGGCTTGAAACACGCCAATCCAATGCTAAGCCACTAGTCCGCCTCCGGATGGGGCTCGCAGTCACGTGTGCGACATTCTCCGTCACACGCCGCCCGCCTATCAAACACTCGCGACCGTGGACGATCAACGCCCGCTTGACGTGATTGAATTGGTCCCAGCTAACTATGGTCTCAAATTTTCAACGACTATGGTGGGTGTACGCAATGATGTTCGTCTGAATGCCAAACCTAAGGTCAATCATGGGGTCTTGTTGTTCAATGATATGCACTGCATTGCGTCGTTGATTGCCAGGATCCTATCGGTCAACCAGTAGTATTGTTCTACGGCTGACCGAAGTCTGCCGCGCTTACGGCTCCTCAAAAATAGAAACGAGCAGCAGAAGCAGCAGCAGGTGCAGTGCTACCCTGTCAGGCCGTCAACCCTCAACAATCTCGCAGCTCGACCTGCCTATCTACTGGCCAATATCCCATGGGTATGCACAAACTGTCCTTGCAACTGATGTCACAGATTTATAGACAATTGATGAAACCTGACCCTTCTTGTTCCAATCCCACGTGGCAGCAATGTCTATCTGAGACTATGGGGCCAGGGCTCTCTCTTCTGGTTACTGGTTGGAGCCATAGAACTTGGACCGCCCGTTCGGCATCACGTCGGTGATTGCTGTGGGGAGGGTTTGATTATGAAGTACGTGGGCGAAAATTTCCCCTCGCCAACTAACTCACAATTTAGTCAGTTATCTCTCCTTTTGTCATTATTCTTGACTAATCGGTTGCGCACATAATTCTAGGCAGCATGATAATTACAGAATAAAGTGGAATCGATCGCCTTCAAGCCGGAGCTCCTGGTGACCACGATCTGCTGCCGATGACAGAACTGGCCCTAATCCGACCAGCTAGACAAGCTAATGTGAAACGGGTCCCTCAGATAGATTGTTTCGAGAGAATAGCCTCGCAGCTTCCGCACTGAATCATTTGACGTTTGAATCCTAATCTTGTTGGAGGAGCTACCCCAACCAACAAGCTCTGTCCAGGTGCTTGCGGAACCAGGTTGGTTGGAGATTTGTGGTGCTGTTTCGTCTCAACCACCTAGCATCTACCTCGTGGACGGAAACTACCGATTCGGTCACTGATCCTGAGCACTACTTTGTACATGACACATGACAGCATTTCCTGCCGTTGGCACCGGCCTGCACGGGCGATTCCGCTCCACTGCAGCGTTGCTACCTCATCGGCTAATGCCATGAAGTCTTGATAGAGCTATATTGACCGTCGATCTGTTTTGATTCGAGTTATGAAACCCAAGCGAAGTGCCCCAGTTTACACCTGTTCGGATGCAACCGATAAAAGGGTCCCAGCTACTCAAAGTCGAAGAGACAGCAAGTCAATGCGCCGTTCCCTCATACGTCTCGCACCAGGCTGCGTGGTAGGTAAGCTTGATTCGTCTTAGTTCGCTTGAAACTGAGTCCTAACATGACCAACTGCTGTAGCACAGTCGCCGCACCAATCGTAGATCTAAAGGATTCGGCCGTAGCAAGTAGTCCTGCTCGCTGTTCGGGATCGGATGCCACAGGCTAGAACGCGGTCTATGGCTGGCCCTCATTTACGTCCAATACGGGGGTAATCCGGCCCGGTTAATTCGACCGATTTTCTAAACCTGCTTTGGCCCAATCTCAAAGGGCTGTGGTCACCTGGACTGCTGTCTGAGACGTTAGCATTCAAGCCAGACGTACAGTGCTGAACGCATGCAAACGAGTAGTCACGAGAGGTATCTAGGATCCAATTGATATTACAACTTTCACTGTTAAGCTAGAGCCGGGAGGAGATGACAAGAGTCTGTCTCTGAATGGAACTTCTGTTTACAGCTGTTGTCATGAACGGTGTACAGTATGATCTTTGGTGTAGTGGGTAGAATTCGCCTGATGGTTCAATTGACACAGAGCATTCCTATAACGGCTCGCGAGCCGAGGCTGAAGACGGCCCTTCAGATAGATGGGTAGAAATAACCATT